GGCCCTGGAGCTGATGTGGTGTGGCCTAAGCTGGCAGTCAAGTGGATGCATGTGTGCTCCTCCCAATCCTCCCGTTCCGCCCACTGCCAAACACCCGCTCCTTGTGGCTGCCGTCGTCGTTGTTGTTTTCTGATGCATGCCTCACTGGGCTCCAGCCCCATCCGCATCCATGCCCTCATCCTCCCGCCTCCATTCCCCAGCCTCTTCAGCTGCAACCGCCGGCTGTCTTTTATTTTAAGCAGTCAACGCGGAAAAATACCTAAAAAAAAAAAAAAAAAGAAAGGGTTAGAGATAGAGAGAGAGAAATGGCTTGAAATCAAACACAAAAAACCTGTCCAAGGCAACCTGTATGGTGGGGAAATCCGACTGGGAAAATCTCCGCTTGTGTGTCGACGTCATCACCGAAAAAGCCCCGGACAAAAACTGTTTTTCCTATGCAATTTGAATAATTTAATGGATTTTTATGAGCAGTAAACTGCGCACAGGATGGATGCACTCACTCCGTCTCAGTCCCAGATTCTCCGACAGCCACGACTTGAGACATTTGGCCCAGGAGCAGCCAATTCCGGGGAGCGCCGAGCGAAATGGCGAAAAATGTCCTGCCAGTGACGGAAAAATCGCCGTAAATTCGTGTCGACCGGAATAAGGATGAGTTTGGGTATTGCATCGGCACTTGGGGAAAAGAAATTCACTTAACTGATGTCAACTGTGTGAACTGAGTTGTTTTCAGAATAAAGTCAACACATTTTCGGCAAGAAACCTGCGGGTTCATTTTTTGTCATATTTTTAAGATAGAATATTTGCTCTATTTGACTATTTAATTATTAAAAATTATCCTTTTTAAATTAAAGCTTTTTAAAGCTTTTACTTAAAATGTACTGAAAAAATCTTAAAGTCCTTTAAAACTATTTTCATTTAAAACAACAATTTATTGGTAATTTACTTTTTAAAATAGGTATAACGATTTAAATTACATAAGTGTTTAAAAATATGCAGTGAATAATTGATAGTCGTCTTTCAGTATGAATTCATAAAACTTTGGGATTAAAAATATTTTATTGCATACTTTTAGACACCTATTTTGACTTTTAAAAGGGATGTCTAAAACCCAGCTCTAAATCGAATATATTTAGATAACATGATTTAGCTTACATGTAAGAACCAACCCCATTTGCTCAGTGATGGTTTCCAGTTCCTGTATCCTGCATCCTGCTGCAACTCTGGGGATCAGGTTCTGTGGGCTTATTCAATTTCGCAATCGCCGCCTCTGGAGCCAGCGCCCCTCGAAAGGGGTATGGTATTCCCAGCGCCCGGTCCCCGATACCCGATAGCCGACCCCCCTTGCAGCTGGCAGTGCCGCCGGCCATGTCCTGGCCTGTCTTCCCAATTGACTGCCGCGCCACTTCCGTTTCGTTGACGATGGCGATGCGATGGCGATGGCGATGCGATGGCGATGGCGTTGGGAACACCAAAGGCAGTCAAGCGTTCGCCTGCAGCTACAGCAGCAGCAACACCAACAGCAGCAGCAACATCAGCAGCTACAGCAGCAACAACACTGTTGTCGCTGTCGACGTTGTGCAGCAAATGCAATAAATTTTCAAGTCATTTCAACTTCCGGTGTGTGGCCCCGATTACAGTTTAGTAGCTGTAAATATAAAGCGATATATGTATATGGGCACTTCCAAAAAAAAGTCCACCAAGCCAAAAACCTTGAAACTTGAATAAAACATATTTCTACATGATTTTGCCCCGATATTAGTTTCTAATTAGTTGGATACTGAGCTTAACTACAAATTTGGAGTATAGTTTGATTATTTTTATGACAAACCCCACCAATATACGCAAAAATCAGTTTTTGGCTATTTTTTTGTTATTTTTTGGACCTGTCTTCTGTTGTAAATTTATCCTATAGGAATGCTAATATGTGACATTTTTCTGTACTGAATGCTTCATTCACATGCTAAACTATTAAGTTAAAAGCAAAACATCCAGCCATTGAGAGATAGAGGTAAAGAAATCCGCTTTACAAAACAGTCGGAAAAAATGTCCCGAGCGACATGTCCCGAGCGAATGTGGTTGAAACTGCATAAAAAAAAAACGGCAAAGAATTTTTGAGTGAAACCAAAAGCATTTCACAGCGACATGTTTGAACAACATTCTAAAAAAAATCGCATTCAAATATTCCATCAGAATTCGCTAATTTCTGGTGTTGTATGAACTTCCCTGAAATCCACTTCTATTTTTGTCCCGAGCGAATACGGCAGTTTTTTACCGATATCTTAAAAACTAAAAGTGGTACAAAATCAAGATTTTTACCAAAAATTGAGCTTGGGAAGAGTGAAAAGAAAAGCCCATAATTAAAATTAAAATCCATTGTTTTACAATTTTTTTTCAACTTTAAAGGTGTGCAAATGTCCCGAGCGACATTTTGGAAGTGCCCATATGCTCATCCCCTCACACAATAAACAAATATTTGAGATTTCAGTATTGAAATATTATAAAATGTTTTTACAAACTTAAAAGAAAGTAATGATACATTTGAGCAATGAATTCAAATTCATAGTATATATTTATAAACAAAGGTTTTAGAACCTAGTATATTTTTTAAAATTTTCACAAAATAATATTATTAAAAATAATAATTATCTAATAAAATCGTAGCTGGTGACAATTCATCAATTTTCATTTTATAATTGCTACTATTTTTTCAGTGCATAGATGCTAGACATATCTGCCCACGCCCCTCATCGGTTTACAGTTGCTGCTGGCAACTTTTGTAGCCGTCTGGCACTTTAAAGCTAGACTCAGATTTGTTTTCATTTTAATGTCTGTTTTTAATCTTCTACCCGGGGTTTTTCTTCCTATTTTCCTTCTTATTTTTTTTTTGCCTAGCCGCCACCGCTGGGGAAAAGCCTAAAGTAATTACTGTTCAATTTTCCAAGGGGGTGGAAAAACAGGGGATGAGGGGGGAATTATGAGAGACAACCGCCAGCTGACATTTGCGAAGTTTTCCTCGCTATTTGCCTTGTCATTGTCATGGGCTGCTGTTTGTGTTGTTGTTTACCCATTATTACAAATGTGTCTGTGTGTGTGGGAGGGTATTGTTGTGCCACACACACACACACACTCGAATCACTCCTCTCTTTCGCCCTCACTGTATCTGTCTCTGTCTCATCCTGTAACTGTCACATTGCTGGCACTTCATCATCATCAACAACAGCAGCAGCAGCAGCAGTCAACGCTTCTCTCTCCGCTTTCTCCCCCACTTTCTCCGCTTTCTCTCCGCTTTCTCAGGACTTTCTCACAGCTGGTGATTAGCGACAGGCGGAGAGAGGAGGGGGATGGGGGGTGGCCAAGGAAACCCCACGATAACGTCACTGGGGGCGATGGCAAATGATTGCCACTTGAGGTGTAAACGAGCGCATTTTACAGCGTCTTTGAGATGTTCAAAAAAAAAGATGTATAAAGATGTAGGTATATAAAAAAATAAAATAAAATGGAAAATATGAAAAAAAGAGAAGCTCTTCCGCAGCGGAACGGAAAAATATCCAGCTAAAATCACTGCCACACCCCTCCTGAATTCTGAATTCGTTATCGAGATGTGCATAAAGCTTAAGCTGCAAATCGATTGACATTAAGCATTATTATTCCCCGATATCATGTGTGGCGCATCACATACACTCGGGCTCACCCAATTAGGTCATTCGGGTCATGCCAAAAAAAATAAAACATTATTTATTTTACTTCCCAAAATTCGCAATTATTAACAAATATTTTAGGAGTTCAGTAAACAACAAATAGTTTTCGTTTGTTTGGTAAACATGACCTAATTGTGTGAGCACAGGCGTAAGTGCTTCAACCGAATTATTAACAAATATGTTCAGTGGATTTGAAACACATGTCGTCGTCGCCAATTGTTTACCAATTTTAAGCTGGAATTTGCTAGCCTGGGCTAAGAGCTATTTCAAACTTGTAAAATAATCTGCATTTTTGGGATGTATTTTTATTTTAAGTAAAGGGAAATCCGCAATCCTAAAAAACCAAGGTGCGAAATGCTTTCAATTTTGCATTAATGATTTTTTTAAATTATTAAATTTAAAAATTTTTAAAGACCAAAAAGCACAAAGGATTTTTCGTAGATATCGGAGAGTTTATGAGCCACTGGTAAAAGCACCTAAAAAAAAATTAAAAAGTCCATTGTTCGAATATCCAAAATCAAATTAATGGATATCACATATCTCAGTCTACTGAGAATCAAACCGATAGCCTGTATAATGAAAATATTAAAACTTTAATGGGTCAACCCAAAAAGTAGGGGATATTTACAAGTTTTTAGCACGTAAACAACGCTCATTTTACATATATGTATGTTTATATGTGTTTGCATTTCGTACTACTTCGTTTTTGGTGCGATTCGCCCATCTATATGAACATAGCTTCGTATTTTAGGGGTTTTCGGATGGGCGGGATATCCTGAAAAGTGTTAATCAGGCCCAAAAATTCAAAACTGCTGTTGTCTACACCCAATGGTTGCTGACACCGCTAGATGGTCTCCAAAAGTGGAGACATGCTTAAGCTCTGGAAAATAACGATTTAAATTTGCCGCCTTTCCAGCGTCATAAATATAAAATATTTTACAAAGATCTCGCTTAAAAGAATTTTGCTATTTTGTATTTTATTTTTTTAATTTGCAATAAGCCCAGCTAATTTTCCAGAAAGCTCACTATTAAAGTAACATCAAAATATTAACTAGATTTAGTTGTTTATACTAAAGAAATACAAATAAAAATGTATCGAAAAGAGGAAGAAATGTTTTTACTCAAAGCAAATTACTATGAGTGGGAATCCCCCAAAATTCAAAAAGTAGGTGCAAAAAAAAAGAACCATGTCTTTGCTAGATCAGGAGGGTGTCTTCGCTAACTGCCAAATGGCATTGATAATCGTTATCGTTATTGAAGAACAGCTGTTCTCCCGATTATCGATTGGCGGCAAAAGGAAAACGTAAACAAACAAATTTGTAATTTAATCATTTAATTTTTACGTTTTTCGTGCACTTAATTTAAAATTTGACTGACCCCGGTTCGAAAATGTTATAACAATTGTATGAGACTAAAATACAATATTAGACATTAGAGCTCTGGCCAATGCGAATTACTAAATATTCGTAAATACATTTTTTTGTTTAGTGAATTAAGTGATAAATTAATTGCTGAGCATGTCTCTTTTTCCCGCCTACGGCAATTCCCCGGCGGCCGTGAGTGCGAAAGAGACTCCCGAGAAGCCGGCGAAAGAGACGGCAACAACGGGCGAGGATTGGAGAAACAACAGGAGTTACGACAAAAAGGATATAGACGATGGGGATATAGCAACTAGGGGAGCAAAATCGGACAGCTCCACGAGCAGCGACTCCTCCGAAGAGGAGGAGGAGGAAAAGGATAAGGATCAGGAGCAGAAGAAGCCAGGAGCCAAGAAAAAGGATCAACCGCAAGGAAAACCTCTAGAATTCGATGCCAAAGATGAGTTCTATGTGGACAAAAAGGGCAACATGTCCTTCAGGAGCCTTTCCAAGCTGACGAAACCCACACGACCGCGTTACAAGTCTCGGATGCGACGTCTCCGGGATCCGGAGGTCAAGCCAACTGAACGGGCGGGTCGCTCCAAGTTGTCCTCCTCCAAGAGCAGTCGCTACACCGCCAGGAAACCCCTCCCCACCGAGGCGCCCACCGCGGAGGAGAAGTCCCAGCTGCAGGAGCAGCTCATGCAGACCCGGGTGCTCGTCCAGCGAGAGCCCAAGGTGCTGGACCACTGGCTGCAGCTCCACCGCCTGCTGGATCTCAACTTGGACAGGGCCAACCGGCTGGCGGTGGCCGAGCAGGAGCTGCACCACCTGGAAACGGCCCTCGAGCACCATCCCTCCAACGAGCAGATCCTGAGGCTCTACACGGACGTGGCCAACGCCACTTACCCGGCCAGTGAGGTAAATCTTCAAGAGATCTGTTTTATTAGATTACTTATGGTACCAATTAATTACTATATTATCATTTAAAACGGGGAAAAAATATGTATATATGGTTAAAGTATTTCTAATTATTTTTTATTTACTTTATTATACTCAAAACTTATATAAACTTCTGAACATTTAATACATATATGAATATTTACTAAAATATGCTACCATATACTATCTATTAAAAAATATATTAATCATTTTATTATAATTTATTTATGTTTAAAAGCAAAAACAAATTTCTTGTATTATAAATAGATATTATAATAATTTTATTATAATTTGTTCATCATAAAAAGCTAAAAAATATTTCTTATAGATTTGATCTAGAATTTAACAAAAACTGCAAAGGTAGTTTCTAAAATTGTACTATATAGTTGGAATTAATATTATAACTTTATTGATTTTCAGTAAAAATAGCTGAATATTTTGTCACTTCAATCATTTTCATAAAACTAACCGCCAAACAATCCTGTTTATTTTGATTATTTTGGAAATTTCTAAAATTTTTACAATAAAATCCATAAAATACTTCTGAAGTTTTCCAATGTTCTTCAGTAATTGCAAATCAATCGAATTAAAATCAAAGTAAAAACGTATTAAAACTCCAAAACATTAGAACTAGTCACCTCCGAACTTTCTCCGTATTTTTCCACAAAACTAAATCATATATATTTTACCACACAACCTTTTCAGGTTGCGGCACGCTTTGAGAAGATGCTGGAGAAGAACCCCTTCGAGTACACGCTCTGGACCTCGCTGATCATGGTCACCCAGGGCAACATGGCGAGGTGCTCCGTGCCGGCGGTGCTCCGGATCTACGCGTTCAGCATGCGGCGCATGCAAGTGGGACACACGGACGAACAGAGTCGCAAATTTGCCACCGTGGACACGGATCGCATCATGCTGAAGCTCTTCCACAACTGCGTGCTGTTTCTGCGCCAATCGGGCAACATGAACAAGATGTTTGCCCTGCTGCGCCTGGAAATGGAGCTGAATTTCCCAGGCCTAACAGTCGATTGCTTCGAGGCCTGCACCGCCAACGAGGAATCGCTGATCGAGTACGAGGAGATGGTGCTGCGATCGGGCATGCCGATGCCGGAGATCTGGACGCGAGTGGAGCGTCTGCGCCAGGCCTACTGCTACCTGCCCTATCCGCCGCTGGCCGCCTCGGCGCAGGACGAGGTCGAGCGGGGACTGGATAGCCAGCGGTGCATCTACAGCGACGACGTGGTGCCCTATGCCCATGCCCTCAAGTCGCCAAACAATCGCTTGCATCTGCTGCTCCTGGTGGTCCAGCTCACCAAGATGCCGCTCGTTCGCAGCTCTTGTTTGGCGGAGAAACTAAATCCCTGCATCGACGAGTTCGGCGAGTCGGAGGCCATTGAGATGCTCTTCGCCGGCCTGGCCGACAGACCCACCTATGCCGTGCCGCCAAGTGTCCAGCAAGCTGAGTTCGAAGCAGCCCTCATCAATTTGGCCAAGGAGCTGAGCGTAACGCCCAGCTTCATGCCGCACTTCATGGGCCACGAGCTGTATGGGCGAACCATAAGCGACCTGCTGCTCAAATGCATCGAAGCCTTCGCCGCCGAGGGCGAGGAGCTCAAGCGCCACGTGTTCCTGCTGCTTTGGCTGCGATTCCAGCGACTCCTCGTCGTTCTGCACAAACTGATGGGCAAACTGACCAAGGAGTATTTGAGCGAGACGCGCCGCAGGATTCGCAACCAGATGATTAAGCCGGAGAATCGTTGCGTTCCACGTTTCTTCACCGAACTGGCCATGTGCGTGTTCGAGGGCCAAGAGGTGGACGACAATCGGAACCGGGCCTTCGACATATTCGAAAAGATCATCCAACAGGACTTCGACTCGGACAAGCCTTCGCGGGACGAGATGTACGCCTATCTGGTTTGTTCAGAGATGCTGATACGGCGCGGTCGCTGGAGCGAGGCCATCCATCTGCTGCGCTGCACGTCGATGGGCAGACATGCCGCCTCGATGCCGCAAACACCTTGTCTTGAACTGAGTCTGAGGACTGGGCTCGAGTTGCTGGCGGTGGAAGTGCAACAGCTCGACTCATTGCCCGCCGAGATGCCTTTGGAGGAGTACTTCCTGCCCAACCGGCTGATTATGCTGTTGCGCGTGCGCTGTTTGCTCTGGCGGCTGGACGCTCGCAACGCGCAGCCAGACAGCCTGTTCGATAAGCTGCTGACCTATCCACTGGGCCCCAAGGAAGCCAAGGCCAGCGAGTGGCGGCGATTCCTGCGGGAGCAGGTCATGGAGGTGCAGATCATGCAGATGCAGCTGCCTATTCCGCGCGAGGAGGATCGAGGAGCAGAAGAGGGGAACGTAAAGGACAAGGGTGGAAAAAGCAAGCGACTGGATGAGCTGGTGGAGCTTGGACTGGAGGAGTTTCCGCGCAACCTGCTCATGCTGCAGACCTTCTCCGGATTCAAGACCATGCTGTGGCACAAACAGCGCGCCCGATTCATTCGCACCGAAGCCGGAATCGTTTCGCTGCTGCACTGGGTGCTGGCCGCCAATACGCGCTTCGCCAACACGGGCGGCCACGATGAGCTGCTGGCCAGCATGGCGGGATGCCTGCACATGGCGGTGCGCAATCGTCTGATCAACATGTTCCAGACCTTCCTGCCCACCAAAGCGGGACGCTCGGAGATCGAGGAGGAGCAGTATCGCATTCTGCGCAGGAACTCGATCTACTGGCGCCTGTATCTGAAATGTTTGACCGACACGAGGACCAGTTTCGAGCGCACCAAGGAGGCCCTGCTGATGGCCATCGACGAGTGCCCGTGGGACAAGGCCCTGCTGATGGACGGCGCCACTGCCCTGCCGAAGGAGCAGTCCTTCCTGCAGGACCTCATGACCGAGAAGGAGATGCGAGTCTACGCTCTGGCCGAAGAGCTCGACATGCTGCGGTCCGGCCACTAGCAGCCTGTTTAATCTTACCCATTGAGTTTCTAAATATATACTTGTATATTTTCTGTAACCCTTATTGGTATTTTAATTTAACTAGTCTAATTTAGATAGGTTGTTCGGAACTATGTACAGAAAATATTAGAATATATGTAAATCTATATTTACATATCTATATTTAAAAAAACATCTGATTATGCCAACTTAAAAATTCCACCACTTTATCACTCGAGGCTCCGCGGGGAATCACTCGAATCAGTCGCATATCGAATGGCCGAGATTAGTTCCCTTCGGCCGATGCGCTTTTTGTTGTGTTTATTATTTTGATTGTGCTATCGCGAGATAAACCGAAGAAAACTAAAACAGCTACGAAAGCAGCGATATATGTACACCTGCGGGGGACATTTTAGGACCGAGCTTTATTAATTTTTCTGCTATAATTATTAGATCGTTCTTTGTTTTCCGATTTAAATCACATTGTATTTATCTTTTCACTAATTTATACTATACAAATAAAGTGATTTATTATGATTGCAATTTTAATATATTTTTTAACAAGCCTATAAAATTAATTAAAATATTATAATATAAAATATTATTTTGAATACCTACTTAACTACCTAATATTAATGGTTTAAACAATTTTAATAAGTAACATTGATTGATTTAACAATTTAAACAACTAATATTAATTGTTTTAACAATTTAAATAAGATTTATCAATTGTTTTAACATTTTAAATGAGTACCCTCATATTTTCTGTGCACGAAAACAGTTGAGTTTGTTTAAAAACCAAATCAATTTTTTTTATTTAGCTACATGTAAGAAGTGGATTTATTGTTTTTCTGAAAAAAAAAATATTCTGAATATAAGCGTATTTTATAAAACAAAATTTTAAGAGCACTGTCTTTTAAACCAAAAATTTGACAATATTTTTGTGACCGCAACTGTGGCCAAGCTGCGTGAGCGAGAGCGAGACGGCTGTCGTCTTATCGCTCGCCTCGAATGTTGCGTATGCGCCCTGTCTGCCCAGCCACTTTGGACTCCTTGTGCGTTACTGTTGCTCTTCGGAAAAGCGTGGAAGTCGGGAATGGAAAGGGGGCAATGTCAAGTGGGAATGGGGGTGGAAAAGCTCCGCTCGCCGAAACGCATCGAAAGCTGTCTGAGCGAGCGTCCTGGCTGCTGTCCGTCCGTTTCTCTGTCCGTCCGTCCGTCCGTCGCTCCCGACGTCTTGGGCACACTGGGCGCTTTGGACCGGGCCTCATCGACGGCAGTCGGTCGGCATCTGTCCAAGTCCCACGACGCGTCGTCGTCGCTCCGCATCGGCCGTTGCTGCAGTGGAAGCGGCCCATTTTGGCCAAGTGGCGCCTCCGTAGTCCCTAGTCTTATGGCCAGCCGACGTTTCCCAGGCCTCAGGTAGAGGCAAAGGCTCTCCACACCCCGTTTCCAGTTCCTAGGTTAGTGCTCCGGATTTATCGGGCCAAGATATAATATAGTATCCCTATATTCCTCTGTACAACAAACCGAGAGTGTTTTCGTTTTGATTGCGAGTGTTATTTTTTTGAGAGTGCCCCCCCGTTCCTATCTGTGTGTGTGTGAGTGTGCTTAGGTGTTCGTGTGGTGGTGTAGAGAAGCGGCAAGAAGAAGCAGCATTGTGTAAGACGCCAGCGTCAAGTTCATAGACTAAACAGCGACACACAGTCGCGCCTCTGCCCCAAGAAAAAGCTCTCGGTCAGAAGAGCAGAAGAGAGTGCGAGCGGAGAGCCGAGTGGAGTCTCTCTCGGTGGCGGTGCACTGCGAGAAAATCAGGGAAGACCCTTTTTGTTAGCACTCCAAATCGGAAAGGTGTCTTAGAGTGTGCTATGATAAGTGTAGCATATTTTTAGACAGCTTTAAAAGGGATTTCAAACCTTTAGTGATTTCTGCGGTGAATTCGATAGGTGTCGAAAAGTATGCTATGAAAATAAATACACAATTTGGTGAAATCAAAGATTTAAATAACCTTTAGGAAAAGAATTTTTCATTAAAAAAAAACTACCTGAGTTGAGAACTTTATTTTAAAAATATCAAAGCATAGAACTCTGAACCTAAAATTCTGTGGGGCAAGCTAAAATTATTTGATTATTTATTTTCAAGTTTTTTTAAGAGTTAGTTGCTCATAAAATGTGTGTAAAAGTATACGATACATTTTTAATGACAAATTGGATTTTCCCTGAGGCGAAACACAGCATTCTATTTTTCAAAGCCTACTTTTTGGCGTTATTTGTTAAGGTTCCAAATCTCAAGATTTTTCTTTGAGAGTTTTTCCAAATGTACTCACCTTAAACAAACTTTTCTTAGCAAGAATTCTTGCCTATCATTTTTCTCCCCGTGTATTGGGTGAGCATGAACTCGGCGAGGGTTTCCCGGCCGGAAACCTTAGTCAAGGTCTCGACAGCTTTCCAACGCAGGTTGTTGCTGCCCTCTCGCTCGCTCCCGCTGCCGCTCGGCGTTGCGCCGTCCCTGTCGCTCCCGCTCGGCAAGCTTTTATTTTCGGGCAGCTGATTCGCCGCTCGGGCTCTCCGCTGCCGCCGCCGCCGCCGCTGCCGCCGCCGCTGCCTCTGCCGCTGCTCCGCTGGTCTGGCTGATTAGTTTAGTTTGTGATTTCAATATATGTAATTAATTTTTGTTTCTGTAGCGGTTCGGACGGACGCTTCGCGACGTTCGCTTGGTCGCCGCTTCGGTGTTTCGCTGTTCGCTGCTCGCTGTTTCGCCTACCGTCGCCGTTTCTGTTTCTTATTTATTATTATTTTTTATTTTTATTCGCATTCGTATTTGTGTTTTTTTGGCTGTGTACGTGTGAGCGTTTCCTTCTCTTTGGCCTGCCTTTTTCGTGGGCTCCGCCGCTGCTAAAATGCAAAGAACACGCTCGAGAAACGTAAATGGCGCCGCGCTAACGAATGGAATTGGAATATCAAACAGTGCCCCCCAAAGCCCCATATAAAAAAATACAAAAAAAAAAACAACAACAACAACAAAGAGAAGAAATACAACAAGCAACAAACAAACTTCGCTTTTTTTTCGGGTGTGTGCTGTGCCCAGTGTTTGTGCTTTTGTGTAAAAAAAGTTTGAAACAACAAAATAAAAACGCGGTCGAGAAGAATTATTAGAAAAGAAGGTAGTTTGCGGTGACCTTAATGAAATCATACAATGTAGTATTACTTATAAGGGTTTTTCGATTCGGAAACTTTGCCGATTTGTTTGGAAAATATTCTACTAATATTCGAGAAGCCAAGCTAAATTGTTTACAGAGTGTTGTTGAACTAGTCTAGATGTATTTAGTGTTCCGTGTTGGTGTATTTGGCTAGATATGTTGGAGTTTCAGACCACTTATGTTTATGTATTAAACTAAAAATTTGGAATATTCGAGTTATAAAGTTGGAGTGGGGAAACAAAGTCTAAATATTGATGTTGGTATATTGTTGAACTAGTCTTGGTGTATCCAGCATACCAATTTGATGAAAAGTGTTGGAATATTAGAGTTATGGGGTCGGGGCACTAGACTACTAATGTTGGTGAACACTTGTTGTGTGTTGTTGAACTAGTACTTTTGTTGGTTGGTAAATTTAAGAATTGAACTTGGTATTATATGTGTATGCAGAAAGCCTCTATATCTTTGTGCTGAAATCAGCGGCGCGTGCGCGCATTTTTGCGCGATCGAAACCCGAGAACGATTCATTTTTTGTTGACTTGGGAAAAGTTTCGATTTACGAAAAACATTCCCACTGTCTGTGTTTGTCATCCTCCGAAAATCTGCTTAGCCAACATTAACGCTCGCCCAGCCACAAACACACAAACACACAGCCAGTCACAGCGACACAATCAATGAGGCAAGACAAAAAAATTAACATATTAATGAATTTCCAGTTTCTTTTTCGGTTTATTTAATTTTTTATCAAAAACAACAAAAGCAAGCCAGAACGTGAGATTCGAGTCTATCGACTTAGGAATACCCAAAGAATTGCCGGGGAGAATTATAGATATAGCCAAATTCCAGATCTTCGGCTTAATGGGTGTGCGGAGATCAACGGATTTCGGCGTATAAAGATATATGTTCGGTGGGGGCACTTTTGATGGGGCCTTAGCCTCCCTTGAACTGTCCGAGTACACAGCATAAAACAGAAAACAAAAAACGAAAAGCAAAAAAGACATAGAACTGAGCTTTGGATGATGATAATAACAATAAAAGTAAATATAAATAGCCCATCATAGCATCAGACATTTTTTGGCAACAATTTTTCAATGATTTACCAGTTCCGAGTTCCGATCAATAAAAATGTTTTCTGTTTTTTCTTTCCAATTTTTTCTTGTCGGCTGCTTTGCTGTGTTGCTCTCAAGGTTTTCTTTCGCGCTGCCGATGATGATGATTTTTTTGTGTTTTATTTTTATTATTTTCTCTCTGTTACTTTTTGGTTTTTGTTTTGTTTTATGTTTGATAATTAATTTCTACGTTGTGTGCTGATGTTGGCAGTTCAATTGCGTGGAGAGAGGGAAATGTTTTAAATGGGGCTTACTAAATATAAATATGTAGAAGATATAGGTAAGTTTGCTAGGCACTTCTTAGAGACCATAAAATATGTACATGAGCTGGTTTTGGTGTCGTTATTTGTTTTTAATTATCTCCGGGCATATAAAACCATATAACTTGAGTTGTCTGGTTATTTTTTAAAGACAATAAAATATACGGGCAATTTGTTGTAGCAGTTTTTTTGTTGTGTTTTATATTTTAACGAGTTTGTATATGTAAACATATTTATATATTTTTTTTATAATTTGTTTTTCTTGTCGCTTTCATGAAATTTTTTGCTGACGTCGCGTCTAAGAGCGGTCGTCGTTCAGCTGAGCGTCTAACGTCGAACGCCGAGCGGTGAGCGCTGAGCGGGCCAAGCGGTAAAAAACCGAGAGAGCCAAAAAAGCTCACCACAAAAAGGTGGGCGACGGGGGGCTAAGCGGCGGCGCCAGAAAGAGAGGGGTTAAGACGCTCCAAAGCTGCTGCGGAAAAAGGAAAGCCGATTTTGTACTGAAAGCGGACCTAAGCAGCGGCAATTGATAACCTAACCTAGACAATAAAAATGACCGTAAAACGCTGGCGACCCAAAAAAAAAAAAACAAACTGACGTGCTCTCCTTGAGAAGTAGAGAAAAATTAAATGAAATATTTAAATTCTAATTAAATATGTCATATCATCTGACAATCAAATATCATTTGAAAGAAGGGAAAGTTGACTGAGGGGCAAAATACTCTCTAAAATTAAAAAGCAATTTGATAAAAATTATAGCTTCCATCAATTTAAGCGCCAAAAACAATTATAATTTATCATTCAATTCAGAAATAAATGTTTAATGTTTTAAAAAACCGCCTTATAAAATACAATTTTAAATATAAATTCGAAATACATTGTAAATGATCCGCCCATAAATTTAGGGCACATCCAATGTGCCAATAGACTGCCAAAAGACAAGTTTATCGATAAATCGAATCTTAATTGGAGGCGAATTTGGCATGCCTGATTGGAAGGCATACGACTGAGATAGCTTGACGCCATCTTAGGCTGCTATGCTAATTAAATCAATTTGGTTTATATCACCTCCGCTCGCTGCGGTTCACATGGCGTATGTGCAATATTTGAGATTCCACGTTACGCATACGCCCAGTTCACATGTCAAAAGGTCTCTTTTAAAAAGAAGAGGTCTAATATTTCCCGATAACCTTTAATAATAGTATGAAGCTTTTTAATATTGTACCTACCTTAAAGTCTCCATGGGTCAAACTAGTTTTATTTCTTTAACAGATTAGGAATACAAATATAATCAGCTCCAAAGCTGTACATTTTATTGTGAGAGATAGTTATTTGAATTCCTTTTATTTTTTTTCGTCAGAGATTTCTTTACATTTTTTTTAACATTTATTGCCAGCTTTTGCTTCCTTATCGTCTGACAATTTTGTAACTAAACAAATGAGGCAAGAAACTAATATGGTCTAGTTTTTGTGGAGTCTACGATTATATTACCTATGTTATGGAATGTTATGCAAAGTGCACTCGCAAATCTTTGTAGAACGTGCTCCAACGGCCACGTTCTTCCCGTCCTCTCTCTTTCTTCCCGACGCGTTTCTTCTCCCCAATCGCTCTTTCCTCAGCGGCTTCTCTCACTCTTCGAGTGCTCAGCTATTTTTGGTTTTTGCGACAACTTTTTGCCAGCCACCACCTGATGTCGACGTCAGCTTTGGGCCAGGTCGAAACAGCAGACTTTAATTCTTATTTTATCGTTTTTCCTTTTCGAGTAAATCCTAAGCCAAAGAATATTGTACACGATTTTTGTAAAAAATAATAATAATATTCTTTGGCTTAAAAATATTTGTTCTTTAAGTTTTAGTTTCCTTTTTTTGCAAATCCTTTAAATTAAATCCAAAAAAATATATATATTAAAAAAAGTGCGAGTTTAGTTATTATTATTGTCCTCTTTACAACTCAGATAAAATACATATGTAGTGGAAATTAATGATATAGAATTTAATTTTGTTTTAAATAATTCTCATATTTTAATTTTAAAAAGCTATAAAATAAATTTTCATTTTTTGTACTTCTTCTTCTCACCCAAATGGTTTGAAATTCCTCTTAATCGAAGTGGCAAATATTTTGTGTAACCGCAAACCCTAGAAGTAGTGTCAAGTTCAAGTAAATGTATACAAGCACAATCTGATACCTGAAAAATAGAATTATTCATAAATATGTATACGTATGTATATTATAAAAATGATAAGACGGGGGGAGAAATGCCTCACATTCAATGCAGTTCATTCATTATCATACCGAGAATTTTGCCAACATCAAAGGGGCTGGCTGCCTGGGCATATCGTAAATACCATAAGTCAACCAGCCAGCCAAAGTGAAGAAAATCCATCGCCCACCACTGGCAAAGTGATCCTCTCTAATGATCTATTAGCAGGCATTTTTGCTTTTCTTATTTTTTTCATTTTTTTTTTGCTCTATTTATAAATGATTTCCATACAATGGCGCGCAGCGAGACGTATACGTAATATTGCGTATACGCCCCGCGGTTCAAAGCCAATATAACGTGCGCCATTCGATGTAACTTTAACTATTGCAAATGTAAACAAACCGAAAGTGCTGAGGGGCTGAGGGAAGGGAGGGGGTGCCAAGAAGGGGGCGGAACGTCAAACGTCAAAGCAAATTATATAATTTATTTATTTTTTTTACCGCTCACCGGCTCTCTTTTAGATTCTCTCGCTTTTTCCCCCGATCATCCCCTGCACATCCCCCGAGGGCCCAAAGTTCGTTGTCGTTGTCTGGCAAATGGCTTTTCGCCATTTCTGCCGTTCTCTGCTGCTGCTCTTTTTTTCGGCTTTATTTTGACGGAGCACTTGAATTTATTTTTGTTTTATTCTTTTTCTCCTACGTCGCGTCGCTGAAATGCAAATAAAAAATAAAACAAAAAGCAAGTGCAAAAAGTGGGCAAAAAAGATGGGAAAAAGGTTTTTATATTACATTTTAATTTTTTGTTACTTTTGTTTGTGTGTGCTTTGTGCTTTTTTTTTTTTTTGCAATTACGACCCGCTGGCGGGTGATTGACCCAGGCCCCAGACTCGGACCCCAGATCCAGATCCAGACCCATAACCAGATACACAGATAGAGATACAGATACGGCTCCGAAAACCGGAGCCACTGCAGCTTTATGGCGGACGGTTGGGTGGATGGGTGGTTGGTTTGGTGGTGCCCCAGTGGGTGGTGCGTGTGTGCCTCGCACTTGTCAACCGCAGCACAAACAAAAAACCCAGAAAATTGTTTGCAAAGATTTTCTGCGTGCCTGCGATGTCCCTGAAAACTGAGACAAATGAACAGGCGAAATGGGGGAAAGTGGAGCCTACACTGGGAAAAACTGGAAAAATAACAGCAGTTATTGAGACAAAACAAACATTTTTGTATTGTGAATTGCCAAATTAAAATAAAATTTGTTTGTTAATTTTTCAATTTTTTCTTATGATCTTTAAGATCATAATTATTATTGAAAAAAAATTTTTTTTAATTTATTTTTTATTTTTATGAAATACATTTATTCTACCTCTTCGAAATTGGATTTTTCAAAGTTAACCCACTCAGTTTTCACTGTAGCCCACACCCACACGCACGCACACCCAGTGGGAACCTCCGGCGGTGCGTGTGTGTTGGTGCACACGCCCACCTACGTAGAACGGGGGGAATCCTAGGGCCTCAGGATTCCGTTGTCCTTGCTTCACAAACACACATACACACATTTTCGCACTCATATTTGTGTGTGCGTGTGAGCTGTCTGTGTGAGCTTTTTGGGAAAAGTCGGGGACACTCGTAAAGAAGTTTATCTTCTTATATGTATATTTGATTTAGACTGCCAGGCAACACTTGAGTTAAATGCGCACAAATAAATAAATATATCGTATACACACTTTGTGGAGGGAATTTCGGATGGAACTAGAGATGAAAGGTAGGGATAGAAACTAGCCGAGATGAACCAATTAAAGGATGGTTTGATAAGGCCAAAGGAATAAATAAATTTCAAGATCTCCATAATGTACTTTAATGTTTTTCAGTTTTATTAAACACTCATTCTTCACATATAATTTAAATAGGAACCCAGTTTAGATAATAAATTTAAATGAACGTATGTCGAGCTCAGCAAAAATAAGTCAAGTGAAATATCAGTAATGGTGGTTCAACTCGGGTTCAATAATTCCCTTAATTTGCAACCCACCGAACAGTCCCCCCTTCCTTTTTTTCATGGTGGTGCTAACTTTTGTGTCGGCCGTAACCGGTTTATATATTTTCACAAAAAAGCCACAAAAGCCAACGAGATAACAAAAAGTTAAAAACAATAAGAATTTAAGAAGCATTTAGCTTTAGCGGCAGCTGCAGAGCAACAAAGCAACAGGTGACAGCTCGGCATGCCGATCGACAATAATATTAACATTTTCGGTTTCTGTGTCCGATCGCCAGTTAGTGGGAAATAAAAATTCAAATATATAAATTAAAGTATTCATTTAATTAGCAAAAAAGACAACCGCAAAAATAGCGGTCAGAGCAAAAACAAAATTACATTCGAATTCGAGCCATAAAAAACGTGAGGAACAAAGATAAATTAGGTTTAAATTATACTAGCACTTTGGATTTGAAAAGTTAAAAAAGATAATAAATTAAACAAATTTAAACTTGTAAAACGCCAGAATAATCATTTTAAAAAAATGAGTTTTTTATTTAATAGCCCTTCTTCTTTTTTCTCTTCCATTCTTTTAGCAACAACAAATGAACACTTGCTGGAAGCTGAATGGCAAAAAACAACAACAATTAAAGCTACAACAACAAAGTGAAACAAAAACAACAAAATACCTCCAGCTGTACAAATATTGATTGATATTGAACAACTAAAAAAGAGAAATAAATACAGAAATTAAAACCAAAATAATCAGAAAATTAAAACATAGCGAAAACGGAAAAAATATTGAAAATTGTGCTCAATTCCCCAGAATCCCGTCCAACTAAAAAAACTACCAAAAGTGTGTTTGAAAAATGTTTGAAAAAATACTTATGAAAATACCGCTCAAAGGCGAGAGTGTAACAATTAAAATAATAGAAAAATACCAAGTGAACTGAAGTAAAATACTGCAATTTTATATACCGTTATTCTTTTTTTTACCTTATTTTATGCTTGCAAAGTAAAGTACAAAGAATCACAAAGAAAAATAAAAACAAATAACGGCAAAGATAACAAAGCGAATTGCAACTGCAGGACACCAAAAACAACAACGAAGCAAAACAAAGTAATACAAAATAAATAATTCGCCAATACCAATACAGCCAGCAGACAGAGCGAGACGGGTAGAGAAATAAACAAACCGCTCGGCGCAGACGAGTGCGAGTGAAAGGGCGAGCTTGCCGAGAGGAAGAGAGAGAGAGCGAGAGCAAGAGCGAGCGAAAAGCTTCATGCAGAAAAACAAGAAACAGCGCAAAACATGTAAGTGAAATTGATTTTTTTCTTGCCTTTTCGATTGTTATTTTTGTTGTTATTGTTATGGCCAGCATTAGACGTAAATATTTCATGATTGATTTATGGGGGCCCAGAGAAAGCTTACGGTATTACAGTGCCGCAATCACGCAGGTGGCAACCCTAAAAAAGTTGTGATAGTCTCTCATATTTATTAAGATAATATCATAAGCGGGAATGCCTCGAAGAAGCTCGTAACTTTTTTTATTATTTTGGTAATAATCAATATGATAAGCTCATCTTTCTTTAGCTTATTTTGTTTTATTACAGTGGAGGTGGCAACCCTGATTGTTTAGGCTAATTTTAGTTGACAAGCTACCGAATTCTCAAAAAAAAGTTTTACAATGAAAAATTCATTTGTTACCAAAATTTAAACTTCAATTAAAATCCGGTTATGTATTGTTTTTCTTTCCTAGTTTTCAAAGAAATTGCTAGGTCCTAATCTAATCTTAGTAATCTGGCAAAAGATTTGTAGATTATCACCACCACAAAGTTGTTAGCATTCCTAGCCCACTAGTTACGCCAATCGCTTGCATTATCCTTATCGAGTGAATAATAGTTTACCATCGTTTTTATCTGGTCAACGAAAGTCATTCATCAAATGAGTCACGAAGCAATGCAACATTGTGATATTACAATGGTGATTAGGGGGGATTACTAAATAGGTTACATGATAAGGAACTTCTGAAGGCCAACATTAGTAACGCCGTTCTAATGGTAAAAACGCAATGCAATTAAAATTGTAGAATAAAATCTTAAAATATACAGAAAATATGAAAGACTTTGGATCCATAGATCTGAAAATGGCATGCGAACTCCGATAAGTAGATATCACATTCCTAGGCAAAGAAGTAACTGTCAAAACTTGACCTCAACAATCTCGGGGTCTAATCAGCCCGGCGATATCTGCGGTACATACATATGAATATATACATTTGTATTCACGTATACGTATGTATACATATAACACCACCAGCGACGCGAACATTTAACAAAACCGACGGGTTCAACAACAATTTGTGGGTGTCTGGCCATGGTCGTTGAAATTTGTTGGTAGAAAAGCAATCGAGAAGAGCAAACAAGCGACGGTCGGCGGCTTATCAAAAGCAATATTCATGTTTAATATCTGTACAAAGATTATAATTGCCCTACGCCATATGAATATATAAATATATGTGTGCTCGCACACACGATTATATCTAAATTTATATGGCCAGTCGAGGCGTAATGGAGCCGAACTCGAGAAGTTCCCCCATTTTGGGCCTCCCATGGAACTCGGGAACTTGGCAAACTTTATCGATTTGGGGGCCCATAGATTCGAAGGCGTGTCGTGTGCCACTTAACGATTGCCGAAATAGTTGTTCAAGATAAGGGCAATATGCGTCGATTTTTGGTTTTTGCACGATAACAGACCCTAAATCAGGGGCTTTTGTGTGTATACCTAGCAATTCGCATTTAGGATTTAAATTTTAAATGCCATAAATCAAGTTGGAAATAGTCAATTAGCTTGTAACTCTTATCTTGATTTTATTTTTGTGGCCCCACAAATGATAGGGTGTGGAAAGTATAACTATATACCTACAAAAATGAATAATGATTGGAACAAGGGAATAAAAATTCATAGGACAAAAAATCTAAAATTATTTAAATGTCAGTTTATTAGATAATAAATAAATATGGAAAATAGGAGATTTTCTTGCCGCCTTATTAAAATGTTTTTATTGCATTGCGTATGCGCCCTGTTGTACCAACATAAAAATATATATAATATTTAAATAGTTCTGGGGAGAGTGCTATTTATGCCCTAAAAACTAAACCATTTATTCGGTACTGGTAATAAATAAATGAACCGAGAGAAATGGGTCTCAGAGTGCCACTCCACCTTCTTTTTTTCGCCTCCCGCCCACTTGTCGTGTTTCTAGCGCGTTGCGTATACGCCCCATTGCACCGACAGCCAGCAGGCAGCCCGCTGCGACAGCGACAATAGCCGTCTGGCGATTTTGGCAGCAGAATAGCGAATAGCAATTGACATGTCTCCCCATCCCCATCCCCATCCCCCTACCCCTCGTTCTGTCTTTATGACCGCTGTTTACCCGGCACTCGAAAACAATTACAAAACAAATTTGGAAAGGCGGAAAAAAGTGCAACAGCAAAATAAACTAATAAAGGGAAGAAGCGCAAATATTACGGCAATCGTCGATGATAACAACAACTGAAAAAAGAAGAAATGCCTGGATTGCATATTACTTAGTTGTCGAGTGGAGTGGCTGTCGACTTCCTTGTTGACTATTATCAGATTTTGTATTTTTATCATTTTTCTTTTTATTACATGGGCTATTTTTGCTTGTTCAAGGGTATAAAAATAGTGAGCGTAGTCAATTGTTTGATGGTGAAATTTATACAGTTAAAAATAGCATTTAAATATTAAATAAACGATTTTTAAACCGAATATAAGAAAAATATTTGTAATATTAAATTAATTATTACAAATAACCTATTGTCAAGATCTTAAATTGCTAAATCTTCTTTTCTTGCTGTGTATTCAAACCATCATCATTCATAAACGCCTGTTTACGGGTATTTGTCACATCTCTTTCGATAGCAAAATTTCCTCCGATCCATATAAGTGAAATAAATTCGTTTTTAATTGAGCCATTAGCCGTTTTTTCTTTGAAATCGTGATGAATAAATTAAAGATAACATTTCTTTCGGATTAATAGAAATATAAAAAATACCTAAAATGTGTATTCAGCTTAAATTCGATTTAAAGTTCGTTTTTCAAGGATCGAGCACCTTTTCCCACGGCAATGATGATTTCCATAAGAATATATTTAGAAAGCTTCAATTGTCCACAAGGGAAAACAAATAAACAGCTAGCTCGAGGGCAAAGAAATACGAATACGAAATTTATGACTAGAATTCCCCACAATTCCCTCGACCGCCAAATGCGTTTGTCATGTGAATCAGTGGCAAGAATAATATACACACATACGTCGGCCGAAGGAAATGAAGGAAGGAGTAAATATAGTTCAAAGATCTGCCCTGAATAAACGGCTATATGCGTGCGATCCGAGCATCAGGTCCATGGGTGTATAGTATATAGTGTTGGTATTATTTATAGGCGGCACTTGGACAAGATTCGCATATAAATAACGCCGAATATCTTTGGCCCGTTCTTTGACTTCTGCTTTTGTCATTCAACCAGGCAGCGACCCCCCTTCGCCGCCGCCCATGACTCAGCATCGTTTATGGCTTTGAGCGTTTTACGAGTTCGATCATAAAAAATCCCAGGAACGTCGAGTCCAATTGCGCTCATTTCTTGTTCACTATTTGATTCCGTTGCTGGCTATTTTTAATTTTTAAAAAAATACAAACGGCACTGGCAAATGAAACACAATATACGTAATTAAAATATTAAATAGTTTATATAAATTTAAGAATTATATTAAATTGGAGAGAGAAAATTAGGGACATGAAATCAAGGTTATAATCATTAAATGTAATAATAACGAAAATCAAGGCATTAAATAAATAATTTTATGTTAAAATGAAAACTTCAGATGAATTTAGAATGGATAGGAAATATTACACACAGTTTTTTTCTGAAAATATAACCCAGAATAAATTTCAGATGAATTTAGAATGGGCAGGAAATATTACATACAGTTTTTCGGAAAATATTACCCTAAATAAATGATCTAACTACAAGGTTGCAAAGTATTTTTATGTGATCTTTTTTCTAGCAGTGCAGTGACCATTAAATGGGAAAATAATCTATTGGGCAATTAAAACTAGTGCTACCACGAATTCTTATCAGCTGTCAGTGATGCAATGATTTCTCCCTCTCTATTTTTTCCAGCTGGAGAACATGGAGGGTGCCAGTCGCAGCAGGAACTCCTCCACGAGTCAGAGTCAAGGTCAAGGTCAAGGTCGCCAGGGCCAGGACATTGAGGATCTCAAGCAAGACATTCCCTTCTTTGACGAACGAACCCCATCGGCACTCGATGCCGATCTCCTTGTGCTGGGCAAAAGCGAATGCCAAATGGACGATCTGGGTGCCTGGGAGCCCGATGCCGATGCGGATGTGGATGCGGATGCGGAGGCTCCGCTGGAGAGCATAGCCATCCAACCGATCGACCTGGACGAGGACAACTATCCGGATGAGAACGAGAGCTCGGTGCTGGGCAGCGATTATGCGCCCAGCGGGAGTGGCAGTGGTGCGAATAGCTTCTACCAATCGCCCACGCCCTCCTCCTGCGACCTGAAGCTCCGTCCGCCCTCCAATTCCATGTACCACTTCAACTACCGATCGCCGGGCAGTCCGCTGCCCGTCGGAGGATCCAATGCTCGCGCTCTGCATCCGTATGCACATTCCCCGGTTCATCACGGCACCCAGCCGGGCTTCTATCCGAATATGTGGTATCCGAATGCACCCTACGGATCGGGAGGATCCGCAGGCGGAGGAGGCGGCGGAGGAGTCGTGGCCAGTGGAAGGTACATGGGCTACGGTCCCGGGGGGTCGGGAATGCCGGGATCGGGGCCGGGATCCCTGCAAGGAGCATTTCCCGGACACTCGGCCCAACTGCACGCGATGCACCACCAATATCCGCAGCCACATCCGTACGGCCACCATCCGCAGCATCCGCATCATCCGCCACATCCGCACCACCAGCACCCGAACGAGACCATGATGGAGATGTTCCAGCTCTCGAATAGGTGAGTTCTAGAAAAATACAATTTTTATTACAATAACTCTGAGTTATGTAGCCAGTACAATTTTTTTTCATTGATTACCTCCTGAAAAATTGTAATGTACATAAGATCCCATTAAAAAATGTCGTTGAATAATTATAAACTCCCTCTCTTTCTATAAAAATAAAGTTCCAAATAGATACTCCAATTATACAATTATAGATTCAAATGGTTTTGCTTATATTAAGAACAAATTTTGTAAAAAACTAAAAAATGTGTTGCGTCTCTTTTAAAACGTTAATTCTTTTTCCCTTAAAGGGAATTTAAAGCCCCATTACAGAAATATTATCACTCAATAACAATTTAATATTTAGTTTCAAATAAAGCGGTTATTTTTGTATTTTACACAACTCAAGAAAGTAATAACCTATCCATTCCATAAGTATGCACTCTTTTTATATTTTTGGCTACTTGAAAACTGGATATCTTGGCTCTCACATGAAAATATTTGCTTTGAAATGTGAAACTTTGGGGATGTATTAAATCGATGAATGGGGATTTTCGCCGTTGTTTCGTGTGCACCCCTTCGACCCGCTTCACCCCTTCCTTGTGGTGGGCGAAGATCCCACCCACCGAGCTAATGGGGGCAGCATCCCTCGACGGGGGTCGGCCAATTTGCCATTATTCAGAATCAGAATCAGCCACCCCAGTTCCCCAGAGAATGACTTCGCTTCCAGCCTCCAGCTGAGTGTCTGGCCTGATTGAAGATTGCTCCTCCCAATTAGGCGTCATCTTGTGCCACTTGTGGCACCAACTAGGCAACCCCGAGCCACCTAACCACCGAAAACCACTTGATTAGGCCGTGGGTGGTGCTAATATATTTTTATCAACATTTTCTTGATTTATTTTCGTCACCGAGACACCGAGGGACAAACATTTATTCATTCATTCATTCGGCATTCAGTATTCAGTATTCTCAGTTGCCGATTCAGCGGAATCGCCATTCATTGGAGCTGCAGGAGAGCTGCACAAGTCCACCCACCTAGCGCCACCTTTGACCTCATCGCAACCCTCTTCGCTTTCCTTTTTCCCTTGGGAGGCAGTTTGATTGGCAGACCATAAACAGAACACCGCGGTGCATTTCTATTCCCCACTTCCTTATTTACTTGGCCATATGTGTGTATTTTTGCCGTTGCTGTACCGTTACTCTCGGCCATATAATCCGATGCGTTTCGATACGTCATTAGCACGGCTTCAAGGTCGCACTGCATCCGTCGATAGGGTGGATGGATGGGTGGTGGAATGGGGCGGAGGGGGCGCTGGGTGGTGGGTGGAGCCGGCAGCTATCGATACGCGCACTCTTTACATTGTAAGCTCCGGCAGACAAACAGAAAGCGGGAAAGAGACAGACGGCGGAAGCGAGGAAGACGCCAACGGTGCACTGGGAACAAAGCAGGGAGTCTTATTATAAGGAAAACTTTCACAAAAATCTGTTTATTAGTTTACAAAAAAAAAAATATTGGTATTACAATGATTCCACTCTTAATTATTTCTAAAAAACATAACATAAATTTAATTAGTTAGGAAGAAATAAAACCAAAATTAAATTAAAATTAAATTAAATTTAATATCGAAAATATCGTTGCCTACAATCGAAATAATCGATATACAGATTTCATAAACAGTAATAAAATATATTTGATTTATTTGACTATACCTGGAGATATACAACAAATATAAAGGTCTATAACATAATTGTTGAAATATATTAAAAATTAAAATAAATGTTTGTTTTTTAGCTAAATGTTATATTATTTAATTTTTGTACATTTTTGTTTTTAACAAAAAAAACAATCAAAAGATTGAGAAATTATCGAAATCCATCTCTTAATGTTTTCACAATTAAGAAGCAATTGCTTTAATTTTTCAAGTGTAGTTCGGTTCTCCATTCAGCGGCGAATGCAACAAGTTGAGTAAACAAACAATCACACACCAGCGGATAGCAGATATACGTAGGCATACATATATATGCACCAGCGAAATGGCACTTGGAATTGGCTAAAAAGTAGACAGCTCGAGTGGCCAAAACCAACATTCTCTAGCCACTTGGCCAACAGTTGCAACGACAACAATATGACATCAAGTGCAAGGGTGCAGTGCACTGTGCTAACTCAATCAAGGCCAACAAATCGATGTATTGGCAAATTGCAGTCGGTTGAACACGTAGAATACCCTGGAAAGAATTCAGCAAAAATACTGAATAACAATTTAAGTAATTTCCAGAATAAACCATAAATAACAAGGCAAGAAATCAATAGTAATCGACTTTTTCACAGTTTTCTACACAATTTCCATTTCTTGTGGCTCAATTAATTTTTGTTTACGACACTTTTAATAGCTTGTTTTTATTATTGTTAATTTGCAGCTAGTTTTGCATTAATAGGCAAAAATTTAGCTGAATATAACATTTCTAGATTTTAAATAAATAAATAAATAGTCTGCAAAATCAAGAAGCTATATAAATTTAATTTGTTTCCTCTTTTTTTTGCTTTTCTTGAGAAAGGTTAGTTATTATTTAATCTACCATTTTTCGTATCGATCTATTGTTAGAATTTGTAACCCTAATTTAAATAATATCACTTTCAAAATAACTACTATTTTTATATAATTTTTTTGCAAGTATTTGTGTTTTTGTTTACTCGGCTGTTGCGCACTTTCCTTATGCATGAGATGGCCTTTTTTGTTTTCCCCCCCATTTTTCTTCATTTTTTTTCAGCTGTTTGCATTGCTTTTGCCAATTGCAATTGCAATTGCTCCTGCACTTCGTTTCGCACTCGCCAGTGTCTGTGTGTATTTTGCGAACTTGTTTTGCAATTGCGTTTTAAAATAAATTACATCAGTTCGAGGGGTGGTGATTGGGTTGGCAGCAGGGAGTGAGGCAGTTTGAGGGGGCGAGTGGGGGGGATTGGGTTCTAAAACAACATTGTGGCAGCGTACAGCGGTAGCCATTGCTAATCGAACGCAACGATCTCACATTTCCGTATAAATTACTCATGAACCCAACCAAAAGCGGATGGCAAGGGGCTCACCAAAAATAATTAGCCCTAAAAATATTTATTTATTTTTCGAAATTTCATTTAAAACTCAAAACTTAAGGGGAATTTTTAATAAATATATGTAAATGGCGATTTGTTAATAATACACCTTATATTACTATATTTCAAATTTTTTAACAAATTTTGGAGTATATTTTTTCTGTGTCTGGCTTTATGCAATCACAATATAATGTTCAAGACATTTGGCGCCAAGTGAAGCGAACCAAAACCGCTGCGAAACAGAACGTGATCATTGCACTTGAATCGCATCGCATAGAATCGCCCCTCCCCCAATCGCCACCCATGCAAAACTGATAATTATTGACCGACTGAGAAAGGGGCGGAATGGGGGCTGATGTTTGCTTGTAATAGTCTAGCCGGGGCACTATGTAATACTTGTGACTGCGTAACGGCCGAGCAAATGCCCAGTCATGCGCCATCTACATATATTTATTATACGGACGGACAGCTTACGGACAAACAACTCTGGCGAGCTTTCGAGTGCAAGCTACATGGTCTCAAGCAGATAGCTGCGATTGTTATGGAACATCCGTAGCAGAGGTAGTGGGTGACCTTCTGATAGACTTATTTTAACTAAATATAATTAAAATCATCCCAAAGAGAATGTGTAAAATCCTTATTTTTTTTCACTGAACCCCCTTACCAAACAATTTCCTACCTCAACGAACGATCGCTTATCGTTTGGCCCACAGTACTTTACTTTACCATATATATTATTTATCACCCAAGTCCAGTAGCCCGTGCATTGCGCAATTTTACTGTCCACATTAATCACACATTTTAGTCTGAGCATCGCTGGCAATTTGAAAAGGTTCTACAATAATAAATGCAAACTTTTGCTGAGCGGTTGCCAAACTGCATTACCTGCCCCAATGCGAAATTACTTGTGCTCTTTATTAGTCTAGAGACGTTTTATTGTTGTAATTCTGATCTGATACCTCTAAGTTTTATAGAGATAAGTGGAATTTATTTAAAAAGTTTTTCAGGAACTTCAAAAATATGACATTATTTTCTGTTAATAGGTATATATTACAAATAAAAAGTTTTATGTTAGAAATTTTTAAGATATATTTAAAATTATATTAAATACATTTTCTGCCTTTTTTTCAGTGGTCGCGAGGCTCGAAATCGAGCAGAAAAGAATCGGCGGGATAAACTAAACGGATCCATCCAGGAACTTTCCACAATGGTGCCCCATGTGGCGGAGTCACCGCGTCGAGTGGACAAAACAGCTGTCTTGCGGTTCGCAGCCCATGCACTGCGTTTGAAGCACGGTGAGATATAATATAAATATAAATAAATATATATATGTTATGTATCTAATAAATATATCCATTAGCCTTTGGCAACAGCCTGATGCAGCAGCGACCGCAGATCACGGACACCCTGATGGACATGCTGGACAGCTTCTTCCTCACGCTCACCTGCCACGGCCACATCCTGCTGATCTCGGCCAGCATCGAGCAGCACCTGGGCCACTGCCAGTCGGACCTCTACGGCCAGAGCATCATGCAGATCACCCATCCGGAGGACCAGAACATGCTCAAGCAGCAGCTGATCCCCACCGAGCTGGAGAACCTCTTCGACGCCCATGGCGACTCGGATGCGGAGGGTGAGCCCCGCCAGCGGAGCAAATCCGAGGAGGACGCCATCGATCGCAAGTTGCGCGAGGACAGACGCAGCTTTCGAGTGAGGTGGGTGGTGGTCATGTCATCACTTGTAGTATTATTATTATATCACTCCATTTTTTATATCATATAGCATCTTTTCATATGATATTATAATATAATATTAATTTTTGTGGGCTCTTCTTTAGATTGGCTCGTGCGGGTCCCAGATCGGAACCCACCGCCTACGAGGTGGTCAAGATCGATGGCTGCTTTCGACGTAGTGACGAAGCGCCCCGCGGCGTTCAATCCAACCACTTGAGCTCCAATCTGCAGTTAATCCGGAGGACTCGGGGTCGGGACGATGTCATTCCCCTGCACACGATCAGCGGCAATGATATCGTAAGTAGAATCAGGCTTACTCAATAAAAGAAAGTGGTCTTTTCGGAATTGAACAAAATCGTAGCATACTTTTTGACACCTTAAAGCTAATTTTATTTACCTCACCTTTTAATAATCCTTTATTGCTCTTTTAGATTCTGACTGCCTGTGCCCGGATTATCCGTCCGCCGAAGATCGCCAATCGGTTGATTGATGCCAACACGCTGGAGTACAAGACCCGCCACCTAATCGACGGCCGGATCATCGACTGTGACCAAAGGATAGGAATCGTGGCCGGTTACATGACGGATGAGGTGCGCAATCTCAGTCCGTTCACCTTTATGCACAACGACGATGTGCGTTGGGTGATCGTGGCCCTGCGGCAGAGTAAGTGTTGAGATATATAGACTTAAAAAGATCTATTACACTATCGATAATATCGATTATTTAAAAAGATCGATTACACTATCGACAATATCGATTGTTTAAAAAATCGAAAGCACTATCGATAATATCGATTTTTTAAAAATGTTCCAACTTCAAGGTTTTTGTGGAGTTTTAATATTTTTTTAGGAAGAAAAGTCTGTTTGTTTTGGTATTTTGAACGCTAAAGTTTTGCAAAAGACTTTCATTTTAATTTTATTAAAATTTCGATTAATTTTTTTTCTTATCTGATGTTTTTATATCGTTAAAATTTATTTTTTTGTTATCCTAAAAAATTGTTGGGCAATCGAAGTTACCTACTATCCACTATCTTTTTTCCTGCAGTGTACGACTGCAATAGTTCGTATGGCGAGTCCACTTACCGACTGTTCACGCGGAACGGAAACATCATCTACCTGCAATCGAAGGGCTACCTGGAGATCGACAAGGAGACGAACAAGGTGCACTCCTTTGTCTGCGTGAACACGCTGCTCGGCGAGGAGGAGGGCAAGCGGCGGGTGCAGGAGATGAAGAAGAAGTTCTCGGTGATCATCAACACGCAGATACCGCAGTCGACCGTCGATGTGCCGGCTTCCGAGCACCCGGCCCTGCTGGAGAAGGCTGTGCTGCGGCTCATCCAGAACCTGCAGAAGTCCGGGGACGCAGACGGGGGCCACGGCGATGAGGGCGACGAGGACGAGGAGGCGGAGGACGAGGATGACGACGAGGAGGATGACGAGGATCAGGACGATGGGGCGCGCAGCATGTCCGAGTTCGGCGATCCCTACAGCAGCCATCACGCTCGCTCGCATCACAATTCCTCGGCCCTGTCCTCCCATGGGCAAGGTAGCTCCAAGACCCCGCCCCTGGCACTCGTTCCACCCGAAACATCCTCGGTTAAGTCCTCGATTTCGAAGAGCATCAGTGTGGTCAACGTGACGGCGGCCAAGCATCTGCGCGGCGTCCACGGATCGGCGGCCAAATCGCCCTGCCCCCTGGGCAGTTGCACCTGCAGCGAGTCCCATTCGCCCTGCGACTTCTGTCAGGGTCCACCCACGCCCAACCCGCAGGCCATCGGGTCCACCCTAAAGAGGGGCAGCACTGTTCTAGCCGAAACGGAGGAGAAAATCGCCAAGCGGCGCTTTATACCCAGCACTGGTGAGTTTGGGGCAATAAAAACAGTACTAATGGTTAACTGCAGGTTAAATATTTGATAACCTTTGGTAAAATTAAAAACAGTTACTAATCAAGAGATACTATACTCTTGGATATTTTTGGCTTAATAAAATAACTTAGCACTGGTGAGTTTAGGGCAATACAAAGAGCACTTAGTGGTTAACTGCAGGTTAAATATTTGATAACTTTTGGTTAAATTATAAAAAGTTACTAATCAGGAGATAATTTAAGCAATGGAAAATTGTTTTTTTTTTATATATTTTTTTGGTTAATGTGCATCTTTTGGCTTAATGATCAATAACCTCTAGATAGCCATCAAGTGATGGTTAAATGTAGAGAAAGTTTTTTTCTTTGAGTTAAATTGGATAACTGAGATGTATGCTCATATTATTTATTTTCTTATTTCTCCGCAGAGATCGAGCACGTGCTGCACACTTCTCTGGACCAAATCGGACGAAATCTGACCCAACAACTCAATGTGGCCAGGAATTTGCGGGAACAGGGTCAGCGATACGATGTGCCCCATGCCGATCAGCGATTCGATGAGATCATGGTAAGCTAAACATATGAGGATGATGACATTTGGAATACCTATTAAATAAAATTTAATTAAAAATACAAAAGGGTCATAAATAAAGATTCTTTGGTCTTGATTTCAAGAACATTTATTCCCGATTAATGATAACATTTTTCCGATATTATTTTTTTTCCGATCCCATTGCAGCAAGAGCACCACAAACAAACCGAACTGTATGTGAACATCAAGAGCGAGTATGCGGTGCAGTTGCAGAACAAATCAACCGGCAACCGGAAGTCATCGGAGTCGGATCGAAATCAGGAGGAGGACCAGGACTAGAGAGATCGAGAGATAGAGAGAGCGGGATCGGCTCTCGACTGAAGGGTTTCATCGATGTGATAACTACTGTCCTGGCAGCCAGCTCAAGTCCCAAAAAGCATAGTGTCCCAAAAAAGAAAGCATATTAAGTTAGAAGAAGGCCAATTGGCTAACTAATGGTTAATGATTAACCGGCGGTTAACGGGGAAACTGCTGCTGAACAGCTACAGATACAGATACGGATAGATAACCTCTAACCCCAACCTATGAGTGAGCCTGAGACAAACAAACAAAACACACGCACGCACACACACACTCACACACACACTCTGATTGTTCAGTTTGTTGTTTTTAACTCCATGTACCAAGTAAAGAGGACTTTTACATGCATGTAGAGCTAGTTACCAGTGTAAAGTGTAGTTCTTTCCGTTTCCGGTTTCTTTTTTAATGTTAACAAAAATGATTTATTTATTATGTTTTGAAAAAAGTTTTTAAATAGATTTTTTTAATTTTACTATCACTCTTTGTTAAAAGAAAAATTTTAAATTCCCAAAAAGTATAACAAATATTAATATAAAAATCGTTATAATAGCGATAGCGAAAACGGAAACGGAAACAAACGAAGAATAATGATTAGCATAAATGGGAGGATTTAAACAATTATTAGGCTAAATCGTAATATACATTAAATATACTATATATATATACCTATGTACCATACGTTGTGCGTAATGCGCATAGCCCAAACTAAACGTGATAAAAGACTGTTACCAACTACATACAAACACATACTACACACATGGAAACACCCGTAAATCTATAACTAAAGCGTAAACGTAATTCGGTATAGTTGCGTATATGTAATATAAATATATATACCTATATATATATATTAAAATGAAATATTCATGATAGTTAAATAAAATTTACTGTACGAACACTTTTTATAGATGTTTAATGTTGTTATGCTATAAGATAAATCCCGATGAGTCGATGGATTTTGGCCAAGCACGGTGCACAAAACAATTGCAAGTGAGCCAAGTACAATTTACACAAATATATACATACTTAGATGCATATATGGTTCGATGTAAACTAATAAATCGATGTAAAACAAAAGAAAAGAAGATAAAATAAAATTAAATTAAATTAAAGAAAAGAAAACACAAATAAAAACCAGAAAAAGCTTAGGAAAAAATAAGAAAACTCTGTTAAATGTTTGTTATGCATTTGTTTTTTTTTTATCTAAATTAATATTAAACTAATGTATTAGTGAATAAACTTGTGTACCTACATACAAAACAATGATAAAACATTTATGCTGGTGTTTTTATTCTAAATAGTGCAAACGGGAATTAGGAATATTATATATATTTTTTTAAGCTTAGAAAATATTAATATTATCAAAGAACGAATTATTTTTTGTGGAAAATTTGGACCTGGGTTTTTTGTAAAAATGTGAATTTTTGTCTTTTGTTTTTTTTTGGTGTAACTTGGCCAAAAATGGTCCTACACCAAAAATACATACTGTTTTGAACAGATAACCAAATAATAAATAAATCCATGACACTTTCCGGATGATCTTAAAAAAATAACATTTTCCACGATTTTCAATTTTTTTATAAGGGGTTACATCATAATTTTTTGGGAAAAATGGCCAAAAAATAAAATATCCAGGTTTAAATGTCAATTGATTGGAAATTTAATAACGAGTTCAGAAAGGTATGACAATCCATATTTGGATCAATATTTCCACAGTTACGATAAAAAAACGAATTATTTTTGGTAAAAATTTGATTTATTTTCCTTTTTGTTTTGTTGCTGTAAGGACAAGAACAGCCAAAACGGCAACCACGGCAGGAACAGCAAGAGCAACAACAGCAAGAGGAGCAACAACAAGATAATTTAAAAGAAGAACATATAGATCCAAGTAAATATTTCATATTATTACTTATTAATTATTTTAAATTAAGTCCTTTAAAAATCTTTTTTTTATATTTCAGCACATGAACTCTTCAAACACAGTGCATTTGTGAAGAAAAATTCAAGGGGCAATAATGAAAGAGTGGAGGATCTGCATACATTGTTTTATATACCTTGTATGAAAAATCAATGCTCCAATTGTGGGTTAATAAATTATACGCCAAATGCCCACACAGCCACATGCCTCCAAGAGGTTAATAATATAAAATGCGAACATTGCTACGTGAATACATCAGATTTTTCGAAATTACGAAAACATAAGTGCTGCAAATTATTTGATGAAAATATAAATTTTGCAATTAATAATAGGATTGCCTCACTTAAACGAGGTCTGTACTTCAAAGTTACTAGTGAAAAAAATATTACTACATGGACCAAGTACAATCCTAACGATGATGAAAAAATTGAGTTCATTAAATTAAGTTGTAACATTAGCAATGTAGTAATGGAAAATAAACCATTTAAGTTGTAACGGTGTATGTATTTTTAATCACAAGCAAATGGGGAACAAGGGAAACAAGCTACTTGCAACAGGGCCTTCAGCACCTCATCGATGAAGGTCGCACATTCCTTCTGTAGTCCATTAGCACTCGCATTTCGATGTAATCCGACTCCGTCTTTAGTTTAGTAGTGATATTAACCCCAATATAAACTAGAAGTTGCATTTTATAGGATTTTAAAGCCAGCAAATAGGTGCCAGAAGTTCGCAATTTCAACTAAATCGCATATTTTAACATTTTAAACTAGGACAGAAACCACAGCCACTACTACGAGTGCAGGCAGTCCAGCATCCAACGTTGAAAGCGCTTTCAATATGTTGCATTATTGGCTGTAATTTTGTTTATAAATTTGAAAACTGCATTTCAATTGACTGAATGTAAAGATAAATTAGGGAAAAACACTTCCAGGGGCTTAAACACTTGCTCTCATGACGAGATTTGCTTACTGCCTATCGAATTATTTGATTACACTAGGATTTAAGGTAATTTACGTTAACTGCTTATTTGATATTTATGTTTTAATTAATTTAGCGATAAAAAAATGTAATTTAAATTACGAATAGGAATTTAGTTGATAAGAATTTAACTGATTTAAATTTAAATTGTGTTGGTAAAACTAGACAGAATCACAAAATGGGTGTTGCAGGCTTGGGCCTGCCCACTTGCGCACTTTCAGCAGAGGGCTGCACTATGTTGTTGGCACTGACGTGCATGAATTTGTACGGAATTGTTTGGACCAGAATTCACAAGAATTTTCAGCGTGGACGCTAGGTGGCAACGCTGGTCGAAATTTTCACAGTTTTCTTGATTAGATTTGTTCACTTTCTTGATTAGACTTCTGTTTGATGCTCTATGATGAATGTGGAGAGCTGATGAAAATCTTGACAATCCTGTGGCGTTGGTGGTAGAAGGAGTAAACTCGACTTCAATTTTCCACGATGCAAATGAAAATCTGGGAGGAAAATTTTCCTGGGCCGTACGCCACGTGAAGGAGTAAACTCGACTTCAATTTTCCAAGATGCAGATGAAAATCTGGGAGGAAAATTTCCCCGGGCCGTCAGCCACGTGAAGGAGTAAACTCGACTTCCAATAATTTTCCTATAAAACGCATTTCTTTATAAGTGGGGTTTTTCCACGAAATAATAGTAAAACTTACTTCCTTTAATCAACAGGAACCCACTGGTAAAAAAAACCTTATAAAAGGCTGAGGATGTCTGATATTTTCCACGATTTGGTTTGGGTAGATCTCTGGGTTTAAATAAAATACGCTCAGGAGAGAACGATCTTCACACGCCAAGGTCCAAAATATTTAAAAAGGTCTGGATATTACAACACTAAATTGTTTTTTTTTCATTGCTTATTTCAGGATCATTAGGTTTCTAAATTTGTGTTTAATTTAATTTTTGATAAAATAAACAAAATGTTTTTTTTTACTTCAGTTAAGCGCTAACATTTGAGTGGTTTTCGTATGGCCGTTAACAGTGGGCAAGAAATTGAGTGGGAAGAGTTAACAGTGCGCACGAAGTTGAGTGAAAATTGCAGGGCGAAGTTAACAGTGCGCATGAAATGGAGTGAAACCCGAATAATCGAAACCCATCAGGCAGCCAGGCCTGTTTATCGAAAAAGTGTGGGACCAGAGTTGCTCAAAAAGGATTTATCGAACACGTCTTTTCAGTGTTGTAAACACCGAAATTATTTGAATTTAGTTCGGCCATTTTAATTCCTGGCGGCAACTTCAAAAACTGGCGGGAATTTTAAATTGAAGTGGGAAATTTAAAAATTGAAAATATTAACGACAAGCGCCCTACATCCTTTATTGCTCTTTTAGATTCTGACTGCCTGTGCCCGGATTATCCGTCCGCCGAAGATCGCCAATCGGAGGATTTAAACAATTATTAGGCTAAATCGTAATACACATTAAATATACTATATATATATACCTATGTACCATACGTTGTGCGTAATGCGCATAGCCCAAACTAAACGTGATAAAAGACTGTTACCAACTACATACAAACACATACTACACACATGGAAACACCCGTAAATCTATAACTAAAGCGTAAACTTAATTCGGTATAGTTGCGTATATGTAATATAAATATATATACCTATATATATATATTAAAATGAAATATTCATGATAGTTAAATAAAATTTACTGTACGAACACTTTTTATAGATGTTTAATGTTGTTATGCTATAAGATAAATCCCGATGAGTCGATGGATTTTGGCCAAGCACGGTGCACAAAACAATTGCAAGTGAGCCAAGTACAATTTACACAAATATATACATACTTAGATGCATATATGGTTCGATGTAAACTAATAAATCGATGTAAAACAAAAGAAAAGAAGATAAAATAAAATAAAATTAAATTAAAGAAAAGAAAACACAAATAAAAACCAGAAAAAGCTTAGGAAAAAATAAGAAAACTCTGTTAAATGTTTGTTATGCATTTGTTTTTTATCTAAATTAATATTAAACTAATGTATTAGTGAATAAACTTGTGTACCTACATACAAAACAATGATAAAACATTTATGCTGGTGTTTTTATTCTAAATAGTGCAAACGGGAATTAGGAATATTATATATATTTTTTTAAGCTTAGAAAATATTAATATTATCAAAGAACGAATTATTTTTTGTGGAAAATTTGGACCTGGGTTTTTTGTAAAAATGTGAATTTTTGTCTTTTGTTTTTTTTGGTGTAACTTGGCCAAAAATGGTCCTACACCAAAAATACATACTGTTTTGAACAGATAACCAAATAATAAATAAATCCATGACACTTTCCGGATGATCTTAAAAAAATAACATTTTCCACGATTTTCAATTTTTTTATAAGGGGTTACATCATAATTTTTTGGGAAAAATGGCCAAAAAATAAAATATCCAGGTTTAAATGTCAATCGATTGGAAATTTAATAACGAGTTCATCCATATTTGGATGAATATTTCCACAGTTACGATAAAAAAACGAATTATTTTTGGTAAAAATTTGATTTATTTTCCTTTTTGTTTTGTTGCTGTAACTTGGCCAAAAATGGTCTATGTATTATCCTTGATTTTGAAATTCATTAAAATTCTCTGAAAACGGATTTACTTTAAAAACAAAGAAAGCGAAAATGTTGTTGATTAAAATCCAAGTCTGTTTTGGCCAAAAACCATTTCGAAATGCGCGCTACAAGAGTACTGCCCATTTGGCTCCTTTTTCCTGCCGATTGGCAGCATCAGGGTTTCCAAGCCATAGGTGGCGCCACAGGTCATAAATTTCTAACGGTTTTTTTAGTTTTCCGAACCATAGATGGAGCCACACGCAACGGTTTTTTAAGGATTAAATATAAAGTTTTAATTTTGGATTATAAGTATTAAATAAAATATAACAAAATTTCAAGAAGCACGAAACATTTTGTTATAATCTTAAGAAATTTAAAAAAAAATATTACCATTAGGACGAGTTAAGAACTAATTAACAAACTTATTTGCTTAAAATTGTCTATGGTTTTCTCAAAAAATTCTCGACTTAAAAAACCTTGATGATACTCAAGTCTTACTTTGGATTATCCCTAAACTCATCTTGAGTAATAAGCCTTTTTCATATCCTCTTTCTTTTCCTCGCGTTTTAAATCATCAAATCTATCAATTAAGGGGAAAGCTTTAAGCTGTCAACACGCCCAAGTACTTTTTGTCCCCTTGGGATAAGCTGCATTCATTGTTTGTTTGCTAAAAAAAATAAGCCACTCCACCCCATCCTCAGTCAAAGGATTTTCATCGCTTCTCCTTCGGGTTTTCTTATAACATTTTCCTTCTTTTTCTTCGGTTGCCAGTTAGCCCGTCTTGTCATTGGTGAAATTTGTTTCTTGCCGCAAGTTGAGCTTATTGCTCGGGAAATCCACACCGAACCATACCATCCAACCTCCATCCCCATCGTCTTGAGTGGAAACCGCTGCCAATTGTCGACTGTTGCATGAATTATGAGCGTCTGCCAAGATTTATGAATTCGAGAGGATAACAAAAGTACGCAAGTATTCATGACAGGGGACCCTTCCCCAACCACAAAAACCGGGGAACCCCTCGCGGCAGCACAAAAGGGAAAAATCTGTCAGCTGTTAAGTTGAGTTATAAATTTCCTGCAATTAGGTTGAATTTCAATTTCGCAGCCATCTCCTTTTGCTACTTACTTTGATTACACAATGATGATGACGATGATGACAACTTCACTTTGTTTTCCCCTCCCTCCGATTTTCATGCAAATTTTTTATCGACAGCTTTTGGTACAGACTGTACTGGTTTTTTTTTGGTTTTTGTGTTTTACTGCTGCTTTGATTGGCTTTCGGTGCACTTTTTCTGCCTCAATGTGCAGAAATTTGCAAACTCATGGAAATCCATACGTTTGATAACAATTCTGGGGTAAAAAACAAGGAGCAACATGCATAAATAAAAGCGGAAACGGAAACGAGCCTGGCGAACGCACAAGTCGCCACGCCCCCGCCGGTTTTGCACTGCATGTGTTCATTAAGCAGCCGGGTAGCAAACAAAATCAATGAATGGTGTAAAAATTAATATCCTGTGGGGGGCTCAAATGAAAAAAAAAGAATAAGCGGGCGAAAAACAAGGGGAATGCAAAGGAATTGTGGCGGAGATTGTGGGGGCGTTGTCATCGTCATCCAGCAGCCGGCAGCAGTTTTAATTTACACAAAGCGTAGTCAGGCGTGTAATGCTCGGTGGCAGTGTGGTGAGCGGTCCTTTTTTTTCTTTTTGGCGCCCAACGTGGGGCTCGACAATTCGCGGGACGACATTTAAAAAATGCCTTGAGGCAGCAACAACAAGCGACAACGACGACGGCGTCAAATGATTTACGAAATTACTTTTCCCGCTGCTTACTTTTCCGGGAATGGGAAAACGGGGCTTTTCCTGTTTGTACATCATTTAACAATCTATATCATTTTATAAAATTAAGAGAGCTTTAAAATCACTAATAGAGGTATCTAAAAGTATGCAACATAATTTTATAGAAAATTAGTAATAAAGCAGTCCAAAATACTAAGTAAATTTTTCATTGCATACTTTTAAACACCTGCATAAATTCCTTTCCTTATTTCTTCATGTTGATCCATCTTTTTTAGTAAAAGACTTTCTATACTTTCTAAGCCCCGATTTCCAAACATATAATAAACTTTCAACTTTATCGTAGACACATTAACTTTATTCATAAAATACTCAATACTCCAATGTGCAGCCTCAATCGATTTGTGTGATGGAGGCCTCGTCGTTGCTGGAACAGCGGCTGCTCTCGCCATCCGTGCGGTACTTGATGGAGTCAATGATCTCCACATCGATGTCGCAATTACCCTGACCACCCTGGCTGGTGCCCTCCAAGCCGTTGCCGGTGTCACTGGAATTGCGGCCCAGCGAATCCTCATCGCAGAGATCGGGCGCCGAAAGTGAGGCCGTTACCGAGGCGGACTCCGACTTGGCATCCGTATCCTGGCTCTGGGCCTGCGCCTGATGGGCGGCGAACTGGCTGTAGAGTCGCGGCAGATGTTGCAACATGTAGCTGGCTCCCGATTTCGATAGATTCGCAGCTGCAGCGGCGGCAGCAGCGGCCGCGGAGAGATTGGCAGCCGTGCTGGATGGATGGTTCTCCTTGGTCTCGCCCAGATCGTAGTACTTGGCGTAGTGCTCGAACTTGCTGCCCAATGAGGTGGATGTTGCACCTGCACCCGCAGCCGCCGAATTGGCGCACAGATTGATTGCATCATTTTGCGCCGCCTTGGGAATGGGCACCGTAAAAGCGGAGCCATGTCGCTGCTTACTCAGTAGGTTACCGGTGGCCAAAGCGGAGGCGGAACCACTGGCGCCCGAACTGGAACACGAGCCGGGCGAACCCTCCTCGGCAATCGCATTGTTGCTGCTTGAAAGCGGTGAGACATTCTCCTTCTTGCGATCGTAGATGTGCCCCGAAACGCGCAGATCGATGAAGAAGTGAAGGGGATCGATGCCGTAGGGCGCATAGAGTGGTGGATACCAAACGGGTGGTGGTGGTGGAAGGACCAAATCCTGCGGTGGCAACGAGGCCGCCGGCGGTGTGTTATCCTGCAGGCTGCTGTCCACCAAACCACCGCCGGTCTTATTATTACCAGTGGTGCTAGTTGGTGGTGCAGCTGCCGTAGCCGTGGCCGTTGGTGTTATGGGTGGCTTGGCCTCCATTTTGGCATAACCATACGGCGTTATGGCTTTATTGGTGAGCTCCAGAGGTTTTTCGGGCGCCATTTGCTGCTGATGTTGCTGATGGTGTTGCTGTTGCTGCTGATGGTGTTGCTGTTGCTGTTGCTGCTGCTGCTGCTTCTCCTCGGCATCGCGACGCTCTCTTAGCTGCTCGTAGTAGGGACGATACGACCAGGATCGCTTCCTGGGCCGCCTCACCAGGGCAGCCTGGTGTTGCTGCTGCTGCTGTTGTTGCTGCTGCGCCTGCTGCTGCTGTTGCTGCTGCAGCTGCAACACTCGGGCCGTCTCATTATTTCGAGCTTGGACCAGGGAGCGCAGCATATCGCTGAAGAAGAAATTATTCGGTCCCACGGGTGCGGAGTACAAATACGGTGGAGTGGCGGCCATTAGGCGACTGACGTAGTCCTGATTCCTCAGCTCGTGGATGTTGCTCTTGCTGCGCTGTTGCGGATTTTGAGCTGCTGCTGCTGCTGCTGTCGGGTCTGCCGCACTTACTGCCGCCGCCGCTGCTGTTGTGGGCGTACTGGGCGCAGTGGGCGTGGCACTGCCAGTGGTTGCCCCACCTGCCGTAGTCACTGCTCCTCCTCCACCGGCGGAACAGGGCATCCCTGCTGCGTTGCTCGACGAGATGTTGCTGCTGCTGTTGCTGTCCTTCATCCTTGGAGAAAAAAAAGGAAGGGTAAGAAAAACACACAAAAGACGTTGGCTAAGTTCTGTGCTTCTGAAGTCACTTGAGATTTATACTTGTACAGGGATGGATATATATTTGCATTGTCTTGGACCAACTGGCTTTCCCCCGCCTTTTCCATGCTCCCGCCTTTCCATTACCCAAGGGACAATTAAATCTGCATTTTCTGTTTGCTCTCCGAGTGAATGTGAAATCTAAGGAGTGGTTGAGTGTCTTAAATGTGACTTAAATAATTAGGAGATTGAAATATTCAAACGGAAAATAAAACATACAGTTTTGAGCACCCCTTTCTTAGATTTTCCAGCAACCCATTATCAAATCACCAATAGATCCGCAGTCACTAAAATGTTAATAGCATAACTTCCATTGTTCCACAGCTGCCGTCCGCTAAGCTACCTTTATTATAACTTTATTAAGCCAACATCTGTTCCCAGTCCCCAAAACATTTTCAAATTTGCATAGAAAAACAGGCGATAAAGTCTCCACGCCACCACCCCCATTTTTTTCGACTCGAAATCCCCCAAGCTGTTAATAAGCTTACACACATCGCGCCAAATTCCAGTAAATTAAATGTTTCAACAGCAGGAACACACAATCGCACCCACCCCTTTTGCCGCCTCCATTTCCGCGAACATTCGAGGACAAACTCAATTGTTGTGCTGCCAAACTGTTGAGGCACTTGACGCCGTGTCCTGGCTGCTTGTATCCTGTGCAGCCTGTGTGCCCGTGTGCCTGTCAATTCTAACCACGAACAGTATACCACTCATTGAAGCCCCGCCCCAGAACTCCATTGCCTTGTTGCTCTTTCATTTTCGCATTTAAAAAGTTTTTAACAAGCCACAGCCGACGCCTGCTACAGATTACCCTTTAAAAATCCTGAAGGGGATATCAGCATTATTTAATGGTAAATAATAATTTCATTCAGTATTACAAATAAACTACAGTTAAATGATTTAAAAAGTTACGCTAGATGTCTCTTGTTTTTGGCGCCCAACGTGGGGCTTTATAAAGTTGAACAAAATCATAGCTACAAATTAATCGTTTAAGATATATAAGATAGCTACCCATTGAAAATATTAAATACCTTAGGTATTTTCGTCTTCTATACGTTTTCTTGCAACATTCATTTGCATTCCTTCTGTTTTTTCTGTTGTTCCATGTTGGATTTGTGGAATTTTTCATTTTTATTGTTTTTTCATTTCGTTGTAAAAATATATAAAGTTTTCAACTGTCGCAAAAGGAATATATGATTTGGGAGGGGTTCTTGGAGAAGGACGGCTGTTGATTTGCATTTTTGGCAGCCGTCATTCGGGAGAGGTAAAAAATGTTTGGGGCGCGAGGAGTGATTTTTGCGACAAAGTTGAAATTAGATTATGCTAATTAAGGCGCGGTGGGTGTGGCTGTGGGCGGTGGAAATTCCGTTGATTTTCCCGGCACTGATTGATGCCGGGCAGGGCTTTAATTGCCAGTTTCTCACTTTTTATGGGGTGGGCTGCGGTGGCGCTAAAGAGTAACTGGCAGCATTTTAATATTCAATCAGCAGCTGTCGGAGAACTTTCTTTTATGGCCCACGCCCAAGTTTCTGGACAACTTTTGCAGCTGAGAATAGGTCCAAGAACTGAAAATGGAGCTGAGATTAATGCGCAAAGTGCATCCCGGCTTGGTCCGACTTTTGTTTGTCTTTCGTCTGGGAATAAGCTGAGAACTTTTGCATAATTCTTGGCAAGTTTTTTTCGCTTTTCTTTTTTTTCGCTTTTCTTTTTTTTCGCTTTTCAAACAGCACGGCAATTAAAACTAGAGTAAAGCGTAATCCCTCACCGATTCCCCCTGGGGTGGTGAACCACATCTACATCCACAACCACTCAAGGCTACCCAGCTGATTGATGTCGCATCATCGATGTTGAATTCAAGCCACCCCCGACTGGGATTGCGGGCAACCCTTGCAAGCACACACTTAACTGGCACTTGGGCTGGCAACCTTATAACATAATTACAGCATATCAAACAACGATAAGTTGTCCGCGCCACTCCATTCGACTCCGAAATCCTCATGGAGTTCATCTCCCCCCGCCACGGAGTTGGTTAGCAACCCTCACGGGCTCACCTGGTGTGCAACCCTGGGCGAAGTCTGGGCTCGCTTTTAGTGATTTTCAGGCCTGGCCATAATCTGGATAAAGCTGGATGTATCTACATATTTTCGCCCAACGCGGGGCTTTATAATGAGTTTTAAAATAAAAGAAATAAGGTGATTTTAATAAGTAAAGCTAGATGTTTCTTGTTTTTGGCGCCCAACGTGGGGCTTAATTAGGAGTTTATCAAAATCATAACTATAGCTTAATGGCCGTACAACTTAAAGAGTTTTATTGACTCCCACTTTACAACGAACTTAATTAAATCATTATTCTAATGCCAATTAAAAATGATCGAATAAGTTTTAAAATGCAAACAAAGTACCATAAAAATTAATATTTAAAAATAAGGATCTCTGACTACTGTGAATATCCCAATTGTTCAGATACGAAACGTTGTGGTTGAAGATCACTGACTAACCAAAAATAAATCAAGTTTTTAACCCTTGCCCGCTGAGGGTGCTGTTCCTGTCCTGTGCTTAACCCAAACCCAAACCCACCCCCACACATATACACACGCACATATGCAGACAAATGAACTTGTTGGTTTGTTGGTGACATGTCGTTGTGGTGTTAACGTTACAGCGTTTGACTGCGAATTAAAATAATGTGCCACTTGTGGCTCTCTGGCCATGTGTGTCGTTTGCGGCAGACAGACTCCAGACCCCTGCCCCGCATCCGGAACCCTGTCCGCTGTCCGTTGTCCGTTGTCCGTATCTCTGTATCCGTGTGCGTTGCCCGAAAATTTGGCAAAATTTCATTTGCAACTTTGCCGTTGCCCAAATCGAATTTGATTTGAACCCTTTTTGACAGGTTCTCCGTGTGGATTGATCCGAGTTTTTTGGAAAAAGCGGTGAGAGTGAAGAGCAACCCTTGGATGCGTATGAGTTATGTGTAAATAATTTTACCAGCGGGCGATTGGAAGTTCGCTTTGGTTTGCTTATGTGGATGGATTGATGCCAAGTGGATTTGATTCATTGAGTGTTGTTTTTATGTGTTTTATTATTATACTATCCCAGCAGATCATTTGGATCTTTAGAGAAAACAAGAAACAAGAAAAGTTTTGGAAAAATCTTCTGATTTAAATTACTATTAATGTTCTGATTAAATGTTTATGTTATGATTAAACTTTGCTAAACATGTGCTTCGTTTTAATAAAGAGATTTAATAAATACTCCCCAATTAAAATGGGCTTTAAACTTGATCACAATTATAATTTTTCAATCCACTAAATAATTTCCTTGTTTTAACACTTTTTAATTCCGATCCTCCAAGCGGATCTATTTTCTCACCTATGATTTTTAAAATTGCGAACTATATTTGTTTTAACTTTTTTCGTGTTCACTTTAAAAAAATATTTAAATAAAATAAACACGGGAAAGCGTGGAAAGCGCGTGCTAACGGTCTGAACTGGCGTCGATGACAGTTAAAAATCAAATGAAATGAGCGCCAGCAGCGGCAGCAGCAGGAAAAGCAGTGAAATCAGTAAAGCAGAGCAGCATCCAACGAGTCCTGAGGCCGAGACAGAAACAGAAACAGAAAAACAGAGACCGAGTACCAGAACCAGAACGAGGCGAGCTCGGTGCGATTTTAAAATTATGAATTGTTGTAAATGAAACGAGGCGTAAGCAGAGCGTCAGCAGAGCAAAAGCAGTGGTTCGCTAGGTGGGTGGTGGTGCGCCCCAGTCGCTGTGGCATTGGTGGTGCGCATCAGCAGCAGCAACATCGCCAGTAGCAGCGGTAGCAACATCACCAGCAGCAACAGTGCAAAAGTGTTAATGGAAACCACCCTCGAAGAAAGGATTTTACCTTTTCAAAGAGGATAAAAAATAGAGCGAGACGGAAGCCCATTGGTCCATGGATTGATCGTTTCCGGCTGTTGAAGAGTTGCCACACTTTTTAAGACAGGTTAGATCGGATGGGAATCGGATTGAACCATTTTATTGGCGCCCAACTTGGGACATTCAATAAAAATCAAATGGAAATATAGTTATTTTGACTTTGATGTTAAAATAGCTTTCTGTTATCGAAATATTTAATAGTTAAGATTGCTTTATATATTAAATTAGTTTTCTTTTATAGAAATATTTAAAAGTAAAATAAAATTGGAAGCATTGAAATAAATATAGGTTTTCATGGTTATCCTTAGGTCGACCTTTTTTTTTTCATTTTAAATTTGATCTAAGAATACATAATTTTCTGTAGTGTAGGCTTTATAGGCGATTTTAGATGTGTAATATATATTACACATCTAAATAGAGGAACTTTTTTAATATTTCTAGAGCAACGTTGCCCGTTTTCAATTACTATCCTCTGGCGGATGTTGCCATTGGAACAATAGATGTTGCAATCCTTGGCTATGGGCAACGTGTTGCTAAAACGACAGCTCGACGAAGGGATATGGCTAGCATGGGTTGGAGGCGGAAAAGCTTATAATTTCTATTACAATGAAGGCATGCGGATGCGGTTGGATGTGTGTCGAGCGTTGCGTTGCTTTCTTTGCTTAATTTTTTGCTGCCGCCGACTGTTTGCGACTTCATTAGCGACACCTCCCCACAAGCTGTTGCCAAGCAATTGCATCGTGTGTCTGTGTGGCAAGGGCACTGAAAAAAAAGTTGTAATTTTGTTATAGATGAACTGGAGATCGGTTTTTACTGATGAATTACAATATTTATACCCTGTGACTTTTTGACTGAAAAATTGGTTTTTTGCAAAAAATGGAAAAAAAAAATTTAAAATTGCAGGTAAAATTTAACAAGTGTTCCATAATTTTATTAAAAAGGTAATGTTTTTTTAAAACATTTTCTCTTGTGTATCTCGCCTTTGGCAATGGAATCTGAATCCGGAGCAATGGCTTTGGAAAATCCGTGTTGCTATCTGTTGATTTTCTTTTTTTCAGTTTTCTGTACTGAGCTTGTTTGAAATAAATACCGCATTTTTTGGTTCGTATTTTTTTGCAGCACACGTTGGTTGCGTGTTCGCCACCCACTCGCAGTATTTTTCAGAAAAAAATATAAAGCTTCCATGGCTGCACATCAAACGTCACAACGGAAGGAAGGAAGCTGTTGCTGTCGAGGGAGTTTGGTTGTGGCTAGGGGGTTTTTTGGGTTGGGCATTGGGCATTGTCTAGCTTACCACACACACACACCATACCCCATTTTCCCTCGCCAAACGGAGGCTGTGAATGTTTACACTTTGGATTTGGTTCTGGTCGTCGCATTTCCCTTCCACTCCTTTTTTTTACCATTTTTGGTTGGACTCTCGACTCTGCTCGAGATTTTAAATGTATCTCGGTTAACGGTTGTTATGGCAATCCATTCGGGAAGGGGACTTGGTTTTACAGCGTGTAACAGCGGCTGTTGCAGCGGGGAATCCCCTTCCAAAAGTTCCCATTTCCAGGTGGCCCAGGGAAGTACAATTTTGACCAAATTCAAACCCTCGATCGAGGCTAGAAGTAACTGCGCCCAAGGGAAGCACATTAAAATAAAATATTTCAAAGATAATTCGTTCATATTAATATTTTATTTCAAGCATTTAGAGGACTTTCAAGCTATTTTTAATTATTTCGTTAAAAACATCTACTACTTATATTAAAGGTCTACCAGGTAGATATTTTTTTACATTTTTTTTTTGTTTTTTTGCTGTAACTTGGCCAAAAATGGTCCTACACCAAAAATACATACTGTTTTGAACAGATAACAAAATAATAAGTAAATCCATGACACTTTTCGAGTAATCTTGAAAAAATAAAATTTTCGCCAATTTTAAATTTTTTTATAAGGGGATACATCATGATTTTTTGCGAAAAATGGCACAAAAATAAATTGTCCAGGTTTAAATGCCAATCGATTGGAAATTTAATTACGAGTTCAGAAAGGTATGACAATCCATATTTGGATCTATATTTCCATTGTTTCGGTTTTTTTGCGTGGAAAGTTCGGGATCTGAGTTTTTGGTAAAAATAGGAATTTTGTATTGATGGTCTTGCCATCCCAATAACAATAAGATAGTTGAGATAGTTATTTCCTAAAAAATCGAATTTAAACCTATTGGTATTAATTTGGAGAGGTAATTTATATTTTCAAATTTATATAAGACAACTTATGCGTTTTTTCCAATTTAAGGCAACTACATCTTGTTCTCTTTTATAGCTAGCTGCATGCAACGTCTCACACATGCCACACAATTTGTGCCACTTTTGTGATGCGCATCCATTTCCGCTTGGGCGGCGGCACCACTTCCTCCGCACCACCCACCCGCCAAAGCACTCGCTTGCCATATTATCCTTGCTTTTATTATGATTTTCTTTTTTTTCACATTTCACTCGAGCGTTGATTGAAATGTTGGAAACGAACTCACACACACACACAGACAGACAGACAGACAGACAGAAGGTTTGAGGTGGTTGGGTGGTGGGAGCAAACAAAGCGGTGCGAAAGGGAAGGCCATACGTTGGGTGGTGGGTGGTTTTCTGGGCTTATTTGTTTGTTTGCATGTAAATTGCAATGTGCCACCCCCTCCTTTGCATTTTTTTTAGATTTTAAACTTTGTTTCTTGTCTTTTTGTTAAATGTTTGCCGCTCTCTCCGCTGATTGTCATTTGCTTTTAGCGCCGCACCACCACCCTCCATTCTCCCTTCTCCATTATGAGTGGTTCCTGCGGTTGGTGAAACGTCCATCATCCATCCATCCATCAAGGACAATCAAGGCAGATGCTCGCGAGCTTTTCGTGGGTTTGATTTTGGGCTCAGGCCCAAAAAGATTTATTTTCCGTTTTCCTTTTTTTATCCCAAAACAAAAAAGGCATGCTTTTGGGCTAATGAATTAGTTGCGCCTGATATTTGAAACTTTTCTGGTGGACTTTTGCATTAATTAAATTAAAATTTTATTTCCTCTTCGGTTGGGATTAGATTTTATTTTAGATCGATTTTTTTTCTTTTTGGTTAGATAATTTCATTGGATTATACTTGTTTTTCGTCCTTTAGAAAGGTCAAAGCTTGGAATGTCATACTTGGTAAAGATCGTATTTCAATTTCTAATCAATTGGCATTTTTTCACCAAATTTTTACTTTGGTAAAAGAAATTTTAAAAAAATTCTTATAGATATTTTAGATTTAAGCATCCCAGGAAACTATAATATAATTAAAATTCTTTGCAAGTGGAATGACTATATTTTATAACCCCTACATTTTTCCCCGCTTTCTATACAAAACCCAGCTTTTATTCCTGACAATGCGGACAATCTTGAGCAGCTTAAGTGCCGTTGGCGTCGGATTTGCCAAATATCCGTCAGATACACACAGTGCATCACAAAAGATATCCGTGGAGGAGGAATCCCAGGAGCAGGATCCATTTTCCACCCATTTCCATTTCCCTGCACTCACGCAGACTGTAATCGCTTTACGTGCGCTTTGTTGACAATTGTCAAGTGGCGTTCAGAAAGGGGGCGGGAAAATGGGTGGGAAAATCTCGGGGAAAAGGGGAAAATTGTTAGAGGAACATCATTGACGCCACATGTCGCCGGCGACAGATGCGTTGGATTGCAAATTGTCCCAGGTAGAGTACTTTTCGCACTGATTTTATTTCGCATTTCACTTTATTGAGACAGTCTGGATTGTCAGTCAATTGGGGGCTTGAGTTTGGCATTGGATAAATGGGGTGGGGGAAATCCAAGTGACAAGGCAAACAAACAAGTAAGCAAACATGCATGCAAATTAAGCAAATGTGAAATTTTGCAAAAGCAATTTCGTGGCTAAATCGCTGGATAAACTTGGCGTTGTTCTTCTTCTCAAAATATTAGTCTTGTTTTGATTCATTCGATCCAAAAAACCCCACCCCCAACCCCTCAATCCAGTTTCCCCAACCACGCCCCTTAAGTGGGTGGACCAATGGCAGCCAAGCGCTTAGAAAAACTTTCGGCGCTTTTCCTCGCTGTTCGTTTCCTTTCGTTAGTTTCACTCCACCCACCCAGTTATGCAAAAAAAAAAGTGGCAAAAGTGGGGCCTATAGGATGAGAGGTGCTCGAAAAGGGGGAGGTGCTATAATCTTGTCAGAAAACCAGATTTCAAAACTAATCTTCTTTCAAGAAAATTAAACTATCTAATCGCCTGTTTTATTTTTGTTCAGTTTTCCACACTTTTATATTATTTTAAGGTAGAACTATCAAAAATGTCAAATTTTTTAACTATACAATTTCTATGCACAGTAAAACATCATTTTATTTTTAAAGAAGAAAGTGAGTTGAAACTACTCTAAAATTTTATAAACCAAAGATTTTTTGTTAATTTCAAATTTATAGTAGGCCACAGCAGTTATAGCTACAATAAGAACTAAGGTTATAGGCAATTTATAATTACCTCTTAGCCAGAAAATAAATAAATAAATGTATAGTTACTTATTAACCAGAAAATAAATCAATTTATAACTCAATTGTTTTTTAAAACTTTCCTTATAATTTCCGCACAGGGTTTTTGGTTTTTATGTTGTAATTTTACAATTGTTTATCTTTCTATTTTGTTTTAAATTAACAAAACTGCAAAAATAGATTTTTCAAAAAAATCCTGAATATCCCGCCCTTCGGCAGCGTGACCATTTGCGGCTAATAACTTTAGTCTTTATCGCTAAATATAGCTTTTTAATAGCCAGTTTTAATATCGGTCACGGTTTACAGTCACGGGATCACGGTGAACAGATCGCCCATCCCTGATTCCGTGCTTGCCATCCCTGATGCGGCAGTCTGTTGTTGCGACCAAAACTAAACTTGAACTAAACTTGATTGATATTTACTTTTAAGATAGCAGCACTAACTAGACTGTAAATGCGGCTCCTCAAGCCGGCGTGGGTGCATCACGATGGTGGGTTTTAGGCTGACACCGTGGAAAGCCCTGAAAAGCCGGTCGCCTCCAATTGGCGGTCTCTGAACAATTTGTGATAAGTGATAACCCATTTTCCGTTTTCCCCCTTAGACAAGCAGATATTCTCGGTGGACATCCACCAGGATTGCACCAAGTTCGCCACCGGCGGCCAGGGCAGCGACTGCGGTCGCGTGGTCATCTGGAACCTGCTGCCGGTGCTCTCCGACAAGGCGGAATGCGATGCGGAGGTGCCCAAGATGCTCTGCCAGATGGATCAGCATCTGGCCTGCGTCAACTGCGTCCGCTGGTCGCAGAATGGCCAGAATCTGGCCTCCGGCTCCGACGACAAGCTCATCATGATCTGGCGCAAGAGTGCCGGTTCCAGTGGGGTTTTCGGTTCAGGCGGCATGCAAAAGAACCACGAGTCCTGGAAATGCTTTCACACGCTGCGCGGTCATGATGGTGATGTTCTGGACCTGGCCTGGTCCCCCAATGACATTTACCTGGCCAGCTGCAGCATTGACAACACGGTGATCATCTGGGATGCCCAGGCCTTTCCCCATTCCGTCGCCACACTCAAAGGACACACTGGATTGGTGAAGGGCGTCTCGTGGGATCCGCTGGGCCGCTTCCTGGCCTCGCAGTCCGACGACAGGAGCATCAAGATCTGGAGCACCCTCGACTGGAACCTCTCGCACACGATTACCGAGCCCTTCGAGGAGTGCGGCGGCACTACGCACATTCTGCGGCTCTCCTGGTCGCCCGATGGCCAGTATTTGGTCTCCGCCCATGCCATGAATGGCGGCGGACCCACCGCCCAGATCATCGAACGCGAGGGCTGGAAGTGCGACAAGGATTTCGTGGGCCACCGCAAGGCGGTGACTTGTGTGAGGTTCCATAACTCCATTCTCCGGCGGCAGGACAACGATGGCAGTCCCAGCAAGCCGCTGCAGTACTGCTGTTTGGCTGTGGGCTCTCGCGATCGCTCGCTCTCCGTCTGGATGACCGCCCTGCAGCGTCCCATGATCGTTATCCACGAGCTCTTCAACGACAGCATCCTCGATTTGTCCTGGGGCCCACAGGAATGCCTGCTGATGGCCTGCAGCGGCGACGGCAGCATTGCCTGCTTGAAATTCAGCGAGGAGGAGCTGGGCAAGGCCATTTCCGAGGAGGAGAAGAACGCCATCATACGCAAAATGTACGGCCAGAGCTATGTGAATGGTCTGGGCAAGAACACATCGCTGGCGGAGCACCCGAAGCCAGCGAAATTCCCGCTGGGCAACCAGCAACCGATAAGCAAGCAAACGGAGACGCGGACCAAGGATGGCAAGCGACGGATCACGCCCATGTTTATACCGCTTCACGAAGATGGTCCCATATCGCTGAACTCGCAGATTGTGTCCAGCAGCAGCGGACCGGCGATTACAGCGGCCGTCTCTTGTGTCTCGCCTCCCGCGGAGGGCGGCGCGGCCACGCCCCTAATGCCGCTGGAGCCGCTGGTCAGCAAGGCGGATCTGGGCCGCCTCGATTCGCGACTGAAGACCAGCCAACCCGCCAGCCAGCGCCGCCAGTCGCTGCCCTTTGATCCCGGCCAAACCAGCGAACTGCCGCGATCTCCGCGTTTGGAGGAGCACCAGAGCAGCACCAGTGGACCCAGCAATCTCAATGTCACGGCCACCGGGAAGAGTGAGTTTGTAAAGGCCGCTCTGGACTATCGTGTGCATGTCTCAAATGGGCATTTGAAGACGAATCTTGGCATGCTCGCGAAGGTAACCGCCTCGGACTCCAAGGAGATGCTGTGGGAGTTCTATGTGGGCTCGCCGATAGTCAATCTGAATCTGTGCGGAAAGTACGCCATGCTGTGCTCCCTGGACGGGAGCATGCGCCTCATTTCCATGGAGACGGGCTGCCCGGTCTTTCCGGCCATCTCGCTGACCAGCTCGGCAGTGCATTGCGCTTTTGTGAGTCTGATTAAATAGATTATAAATTGAAATAGCTAATGAATTACTATTCCAGAGTCCCGACAACAGTTTGGTGGGCGTGCTGACCGAATGCGGACTGCTGCGAATATGGGACATTGCCAGGAAGGTCATCAGTTTGGCCGCCGGCTGTTTGGAGCTGCTGAACAAGCATGGCACCGCCGTTCAGTTCTCGGTGACCGATCAGGGAATGCCCCTGATTGGCTTCCCCAGCGGCAACTCGTACTCCTACTCGACGAGCCTGCAATCCTGGCTGGTGCTGGCCACCAAGGATGCGATCATGTACCACGGCATCCGGGGAACTTTGCCCAGGGATATGGACCAAATGCAACAGAAGTTTCCGCTGCTCAGCATGCAGGCGAGCAGTCAGAATTACTTTTGCTTCACTGGAGGCATGGAGCTGTACGTTTATCCATCTATTTAATAGTTAATTACTAAATATTGGATGTATTTTTATAGGCGGCACTCGGAGAGCTGGCAGCAGAGTGCCAAAATCCGTTTCATCGAGAACCAAATCAAGTTGTGCGAGGCTCTGCAGTCGCTGGATGAACTGCAGCACTGGCACAAGATGCTCACCTTTCAGTTGGCCACTCATGGCTCTGAGAAAAGGATGCGTGTGTTCCTGGACGATCTGCTGAGCACTCCGGAGCCCGAAATTTCACAGGTTTATATAGCATAAATCTAGAATTATTACAGCTCACTGATATACCTCCATCCCCCTCTAGTTCGTGCTCAAATTGGAGTTGATGCAGTGCGTTCTGGACACCCTGAAGCCGCATTCCGAGTGGCAGCGCCTGTACAACGAGTATGTGGAGCTGCTCAAGGAGTGCAAGTCGGAGCGGCAGAAGGATATCTTTGCCACACCCGCGCCACCGCAACCAAAGGCTGCCTCCTCAGCGGGCTCTTCGCCGGCGGGCGGACCATCTCCGGATGAGGAGGCCCCGGAAAAGGCAGCCGCAGAAGCTGTGACCACAGGCAGCAGCACTGCAACAACCACCACCTCCGCCAGTAGCTCCATTTCCTCCTCCTCCGGCTCGTCCTCATCCTCAACCTCCTCCTCGTCATCGTCGCTCTCGGTGCCACTGCCTGCTCCTAGTCTCTCCTCAGAGATCCAAGCCATCGACTTGCTGGACGACGAGCTGCTGTCGGCCTCATCTTCACCACCTCCGTTGGATGTCTCGCCCGTGGAAGCTTCGCCAGCGTCCACAGCATCCGCAGGGGCTGCCTCCACGTCGCCGGCAGCTCCGCCAGTCTGCAGTTCCAAGGCCGCCGAAACGGCGGAGCAGACATGACCTTGTCCTAGTGAACCCACTGAATTGTGTTTATTTCCCGCAGGGATCGCAAGTAAGAGTTACTTTTTTAAAAAAATTGACAAATAATTATTATAAAAGTTGACAAATAACTCTTATGCTTCAATTTTTATTATAAAAATCAACAAATAAGAGTTATTTGTCAACTTTTATAATAAAAATTGAAAAATAAATCTTATTTGTCAGTTTTTTTACAAAAAGTAACTCTTACCTGCGATCCCTGATTTCCCGTAAGCTATAAGCGTCTAGTGTAGAGCCTTTTGTACCGAACTAAACTCCTGCCTCAAAAATCATTAAAGCTGAGCGATGGAAGCATTTAACTGGCTTTGTTTTCATTTCTCCACTATTACAAAAATAAATAAAAGAGCTGATAGATTTGTACTCTATATTGTGTACTAGAATCGATCGTTACACTAGCGTAACAGTAATATATAATATATAGATAATGCCTGCCAACAAAGCCATACATTTGTAAATATGTAAACTATATCTCGCTGCTTAGTCTAAACAGTAGAATTATGATTTGCGCATGCATGCATCCCACTGGCTGCCCAGAAGTAAACATCCTTATCGTTCTCCTTATTAACCATCATCATCCGACGACAGCCGCTGGTGGCGCGACCGCCGGCGCCTCTAGCTATTGGACATTGTAGTGTGGGCCCGGCGTGGGCACGCTCTTCAGCGGCGAATCGAACTCAATGGGCGGCGCCTCGATCACCGGCGTCTCCGCCGCACCGGTGCCAATCCTCTCCTGCAGCGTTTCGTACAGCTTGTGGATATGCTCGTTGTGGGCCGTCGTCGGCTGCATGGCCTTCATCAGCGTGGCCAGGCGGCCGGCGGGCAGCTTGTTGTGCACATACCACAGCAGCTTCAGCATGTGACGCGAGGTCACGTTCTCGCGCGTGAGGCCGGCGAAGATGAACTCGTCGAAGAGCGTGGTGCAGAAGTCCTCGGTGGCGAACTCCTCGCTCATGGGGATGAGCAAAGCGATCTGGAAGGGAATACGGGTTATTTTAGTTGGGTTCTCTGCTAGAAACAGGTAAATAACAAACACTGTAAAAAACATGCTAAAGGTCAAAGTTTTTGACATATGTTAAAAACATAAATAACAGACACATGTCATTTGTGCTATTTACACTAAGTGTTTTTTACACAGCGTGGTTTTAACACAATGCGTTTTTGACATTAAAGTGTCAGAATTGTATGTTGAACAGAAAAACAGAAAATCTAGAGTATGAGAATTCATATATGCTTTGAAATGGTTAAAACTAATATATAAGATATTGGGTTTTCATTTTCCCTTCGACTAGTTAATGTCAGTGAAATGTAATTTACATTTTTGTGTTAAAAATACAGTGTGTAAAAAAACACGTCGTGTTAATAATACATTGTGTAAATAACACAAGTGAGCTGTGTGTGTTAAAAATTATTTTTCACAATTAAAAATTTTTTTTAATTTTTTGACTCATTAATGTCAGAAAAATGTAATTTGTATTAGTGTTAAAAACACATTGCGTAAAAAACACAGTGTGTAAAAAACGCGTCGTGTCATTAACACAGTGTGTAAAAAACCCAAGTGAGCCGAGTTAACAATTATTCTTCACATTTTAACACAATTTAGCTCACACTGTAAAATACAATATCCATTGTTTTTAACATGTGTGTCGATTTCCGAACCCTGGCTAGAAATCCATAGACTTTACTTACCAGCGAGTGCAGGAAGGGATCCTCGTAGGCCCGATCGTCCTTGCAGGCGGACAAAATAGCCAACACGCGCAGCACGCCCACGCGATCCTTGAGGCGCGCCGTGTGCAGCGTGTAGTACATGGCCAGTATGCTGGCCACCGAGCTCTCCTGGATGTACGCCTCCACGGCATCGGGCGCCGGTCCCGAGTGCTCGATGGTGGTCAGCGCCGACTCGCGCTCATCCGGCGGCAGTTTCGCATGCAGACTGCGGCACTGGTCGTCCACCATCAGCGACATGAGCGCCGGTAGGAACTTGGTCACCACCTGGCAGTCCAGCTTCGGTTCCTTGAAGTCCTGCGAATCGATCATCACCCAGGCACTCAGCCCCAAAGCCAACATCCTGAGCAGCAGGATGAGGATCTGATTGTCGCGCGGCATGCCCTCGTTGTTGATCAGGTGATGCAGTATCTTGATGGCCGACGTGGCCAGGAAGTTGATGGCATACGGATCGCACAGCGTCATCGAGAGATCGCCCAAAACCTGCTCCTGGCCGCGCTTGATATTATCCAGGAAGCCCTGCAGTTCCCGCGACCGCTTGATGTCCACATTCTTCTCCCTGATGCAGGCATCCAAACACCAGGTGAACTTGTGGCACGGGTCAATCGAGATGATCTCCTGCACCTCCAGATCGTGCAGGGCCATCAGCAGCTCGGCGCGCAGCGTGCAGTAGTGAACGTTCCTCGTCCGCAGGAAGAGGGTGCGCAGGAACTGCAGCACCATGTCGTACAGCTTCACGCTCGTCCCGATCATATTGGCCAGCTTCTGGACCACTTCGCCTTGGCGTCGCACCTTCGGCGTCGGCTGGAAGAACAGATTATTGAGATTGGTGTGATCGAACAGAATGTGCTCCTTCTCGCGGATGTACTGCGACAGCAGGGGGGAAACCTCGTCCCCGAACAGCGACTGATTGTCCCGCCAGATCTGCCGCTTGACCTCCGTATCCGTGTCCGCATAGAGCTCCCTGTCGCGGACGAGAATCTTGAGGTACTTGTCGTCGATGTGCTGGGTGTTCCGCAGAATGGCCATGACCACCGGACGCAGCGACTTCACGCGGACGACGGGAAAGCTCTTCACCAGCAGCTCCTTGAGCTTCTTGTCCCGCTCGCGCGGCTCCTTCTGGCCCATCTCGTTGATGTGGGCGATCAGCTTGTCGCGCAGCTCCTCCATCAGCGAGGTGTGGAAGTCCAGCCGGCGCACGCCATGCAGATCCAGCAGGGGCAACATGGGACGCAGCGAGGGCAGCAGCACGCCGTTCTCCAGCTGAAAACAGGTGAAAATATTAGAAATCCCACAATTAACAAGTGAAATAACCCACAAAACTTTTCGCGCCCATTTTGTTGTTCGCGCTGCCAACGTAAACAAACCTGGAAACTCTCGATGGCCTTCAGGGGATCCGTGCAGGAGGTCAGCGCCTCGCGCAGGTACGCCTGCCCCGGAATATTCACGTCCTCCAGCCCCGTGCCATTGGTATTCTTCGCCGGCGTGCCCATTATCATACACAATTATGCGGCAAATTGAACGGAGAAGCGCTGAAATTGCGAGATTTGTTGTTTTTTTTTTGCTGGTGCGGAGAGAAAAAAACGTAAACGCAGGCCTGCACGGGCGCGGTGCTATCGATGCCGGTTATCGATTGGCCGCCGAGCAACGCTGCGGGCAAAGCGTGATTTCGTGTCACGTTTTTAATTTGCACTTATTCTACCCAATTATTGACTAAATAAGTAAATCTTAAAAGTAATTAAATCAATCCAAATTCTCCTTTCCGATTTAATTGCTAATTTGATCAATTTCAACGACTCGAATTCTCAAACATCTGTGATTTGTTGATACACTTTTCGGCACTAGCAACATATGTTCTTTTTATTATTTTTCATGAATCTTGAATTTGTTTTGAATTTTAACATGTAAATAATAACTAAAAATGTACTCCTAAATTTGATTTTATAATAAAAAGATACAGCAATTCAACATTTCAGAAACTGTCCCGAATGTTGAAAAACTGATTACATTTATTTATATATTGATAGATGTGGTTTTCAATCTTAACAAGATATTAAGTTACAGAAATTCAAATTTCCGGATTCAAAGTTGGGCTTGTTGGAAGTAATATATGATTTCATGGAAATATTTGCCATATCATCACCCTTTCTAGTTCCCTCGAACAAATCACAGCAAATAAAACAAACGAAGTAAATAATTGCTCCAATAAAGAAAGGACTCTTGCGATTTCGTGACTCGTGACTCTTGCAAAAACCCGTGACTCCAAAGCCAAACGCCAATTGCGCGATGTGCCATCGCTAGCGCGAAATAAGCAACGCCAAAAAAGAAATAGAAGAAAAGCAAAGCAAGAGCATCAAGTGCGAAGAAAATCGGCACAATTCGAATCAATCGCCGCGGACGAGGAGCAGATTCTGGAGGAGATTCGTGCGCCGAGGAGCCTGACCACGGAGATCCTGCCCAGCGGCACACACTCGCTATCCTTGGCATCGAGTGTGCGTGAGTGTGTGCGTGCGTGTTCCGTGTTCCGACACCCCAGCCCCGAGTGTGTGTGGGTGTTTGGCCGTGCGAGTGTGTGCGTGTGCATCTCGTCGAGAACGAAAGTCGCTCTTTTCCTGGGTAAACAAAAACAAAACAATTGGATGTGAGCAGCAGGATCATCGCCCCATCAAGGACTAGCAACCAAGGAGCAACAGCAGAAGCAACATGTCCTCGTCGACGTCAGAGCGCAAGCGCTACCACAAGGACAACGCGCCCACGGACGACATCCTCACGCTGATCAACCTGGTGCGCCAGAACCCGGCCCTCTACAACTACAAGCTGCAGCCGAACCAGCGACGCCGCTCCGACGTCCTTAACGGCTGGCAGGAGGTCGCCCAGCAGATAGGAAGTGAGTGCCGAGTCCTGGCGGGGATTACCGGGTTCCTGGAACCCGGAATTTACTCATTCCGGAGTCACTTACCTTTGAAAGTAGTGGAACTATGGGTAGTTTAGATAGAGGGAGTGCAGAATCCCATCCAAAAGTACTTTAGATTATCCTTTTCTAAGGTTTCATATGGGAAATTATATCCTTAAAAACTACTTCAAGATTCTATAGATAGCTCGGTTTCCATTGCTTATAATCTTAGATCAGAACTTTAAATAATAGATTAATTAATAATAATTATTATGTTCTATTATTTTGACATTTCTTAAAGTATTATTATTATTTACTATTTATCCCAATTCCCAGTGCTTATAATCTTAGATCAGAACTTTAAATAATAGATAAATTATTAATAATTATTATGTTTTATTATTTAGAAATTTCTTAAAGTATTATTAATTTTTACTATTTATCCCAATTCCCAGTAATTATAATCTTAGATCAGAACTCTCTATAATAGACGAACTGTATTTTTAATAGATTCGAAAATTATTAAGTTTTATTATTTAGAAATTGCTTGAGATATCAGTTTTCTTATAAGCACCTTTAAATTCCATTGTCAGACCTTTTAATAATAGAATAACTATATTACAGTATCAGATTTCTTAGAAGCCCCTTTAATTCCATAGTTTCCCATTGCCTACAGTTTTATATTTCTTAGAAATTCCTTTAAATTCCATAGTATAATCCAATTGGTTATGCTCTTATATTAACACTTTAAATTATAGACCAACTATATTAACAAAATGATTGGTAAATTATTAAGTTGTATTATTTAGAAATGGCCTAAAGTATCAGATTTCTTAGAAACCCCTTTAAATTCCATTGTTCATTATTTATTCCAAATAATAAGGGGTAAAATCTTAGTACAGACCTTATGTAGATAATAATAGACTAACTATATTGCTAATATATTATTATTTTAAAATTGCTTAGAGTATCATATTTCGTATAAACCCCTTTAAATTAAATAATTTTTTCCAATTGGGTATGATCTTAAATCAACACTTTCAATAATAGACCAACTATATTGTAAAAAGATTGGTAAACAATTACGTTTTATTATTATAAAAATGCCTAAAGTACCAGATTTCGTAGAAACCCCTTTAAAGTGCATTATTTATTATTTATTCAAATTCGCAGTGAGCATAATCTTAGTTCAGAATCTGAACTGCAGATCTTTCAATAATAGATTAATGTGAATTATTTTGAAATGAAAGTATCAGATTTTTTAGAAATCCCCTTAAATTCCATTATTTATATCTGATTTCTTATAAACACATATTTTATAACAATTGTATTTCGAGAAAAAAATTCATTTGTAAACGGATTATGAACTTTAGACCTTTTAATAATAGATTAATAATTAAGTGAATATCACTTTTCTTAGAAATCCCTTTAATAATGGAATTTATTTGTCTCCGATTTCTTATAAACACATATGTTAGTGTCGTATTTCGAGTAAATTCATTTGTAAACGGAATCAAGTATTTATGAATCCATATCCCACCAATTATAAACAATTCCCGAATGACTTCTAATGAATTTTCCCCCCTCCTTTTTCCAGACAAGTACACCGTGCAGGAGGTGCGTCGCAAGTGGAAGAACCTGCGGGACACGTTCCACCAGTACCGCCTGCGCACGCCCAAGTACATCGAGGGGCGTCTGTCCAAGTGGCGCTACGCCAAGGAGCTGGACTTCCTATCGACGGTCTACCAGCCCAAATTGAAGTCGCACCGCAACACGCAGGGCGGCTATGAGGCGACTAGCGGAGGAGGAGGAGGAGGAGGTGCCATTGGAGGCACTAATAGCACCAGTTTGCCCATCGGAGCCATGCTGCATTTGAAACAGCACGACGACGAGGTGGACGACGACGGGCAGTCGGATCACGACACCGCCACTCTATCCTCGCACCACGGCGCCTCTCAGATCACCTTGGTCAGCGACGAGGCGGAGACCTTCATCCTGACCGCCTACGAGGAGGGCGTCTCGGATGACACCGTCTCGCAGCATCACCATGGTCACCATGGCCACCACCAGCAGCACCACCACCACCAGCCGCACCACCATCACCATCACCACCACCAGTCGCAGCACGACGGCAGCATCTCGAGCATTGAGCTCTCCCAGATTGCCCACGATGACGATGACGACGATGAGGATGAGGATGGCCAGATGGACATTGTGAAGCACGAACTGGACGAGGACGGGGCCACCGGGGCGGAGGTGGACTACGAGGAGGTCTGCCTGTACGAGGAGGCCAGCGGTGCCCATGTCGACTGCGAAATGGGCGTCGGCGATGCCGTCGACGGCGGTGAAAGCGATGTGAGCCACGGCAAGGGCTTTCACTATATCGACGCCCACGAGTTCTGCATATCGGACATCGAGCCACCGCAGACGGTTCGCTCCAGCCAGCAGCATTTCGCGAGCAGCGGAGGATCGGGCAATGCCTCGAATAGCGTGCTCGCCGATGGCAAGCTCAAGAATCTCACGCTGGTCACCACCACAACCTCCTCGTCGTCGGCAGCAGGTGGAGGTTCCTCCAATCGCCACGACTCCGCCACGCAACAGATATCCCTGGTGGATGTGACCGAGGCGACCAGTACGAGTGTGACTATCTCCAGCACGCCGGCCATTTCGCTGAATGCCGCCACGGTGACCACAACGCCGGCGGCCGCCCTCTGCAACACCACATCCTTCTCGTCCACGCCGACGGCCACCATTCTGCAGCTTCCCTCGCTGAGCTGCAACTCCAACCAGCAGCCATTGGCCGTCAGTGCGGCGGCCAGCAGCTCCAACAATCTGGTCAAGGAGGAGGAGCTGCATCAGCAGCAGCAGGTGGCCCAGGCGCTCGCCAAGCGGGATGAGTTGGATCTGTTTTTCGACTTCCTCAAGAAGAAGATGCAGTGCTTCAGCAAGACGCAGATCACGCACATCCAGATGGAGTTCCTCAACTGCGTCAGTCGGCAGGAGGCCGCCGAGCAGGAGGGCAAGGATTAGTTGCTTAGTTTTTTCCATGTATAGGATTAGGACGCGTACCGTTTACCAGTTGGCTTTCAGTTAGCTTTACCCACGAAGACCCGGAACCCCGAATCCCCCTGCACCCGCCAATCTATATATATATATATACAAAGCAGCGTTACAAACCTTTGTAATTGAATATAAATGTAAAATAAATCGATTCTCGAAAGAAAGTTACTCCAATTCGTAGGATTCCGTTGGTTCGCCCCCCTTTTAAAGCCCAAACTAAAAGTTTTTTACATCTAAACCACCACAATTGGCATAATATAGTCTAAAAATAAGAGGTTTTAAATTGAATTAGAGTATATAAACTACTAAAAGATTGTTTGCATAATTTTAAACCACATAATTACGATAAGTACTTGCTTTAAACAACAAGATTAGCTATTTAACGAGATCACGAATTATTTGAAAATAAATATATATGAAGAAACTCAGTCAAGGCTTTTATTTCAACTGTTCCATTAAGGGAAAACCCGTTTTTGGACCCTTTTTAAAAAATTCCTATTTGAAAAAGCAAAAAAATATGAACAAAAGAAACAAATGAATTTCTGAAAATCCTTTTAAAAGCATATTCACAACTACCCAAGCTATAAATAAATGAATGAGAATACCCCCTTAATAACTCAATTTGCATAGATAATTTCGCTTTCCGCGTGCGATTTGGATTTATTTGGCGCGGCAGTTGTCCGAGGTCCGTTGGCGAATGAAACAAACTTAAACGCAACACTTAGGCTAGTTAGGCTGAAGGTTAGTGGCTCGCTGGCTGGTTAAATATACACGGAGATCACGCTACCGGCGCAGTGACCCCCGGATCTGCATCCGCATCCGCCTCGCCCTGCAGCTGGGCAATGTGCTCCGAGTTGAAGTAGATGACGGTGATGGTGATGTCGTCGCGATACAGCCGCACCACATCCTTGGGCAGCGTCAGATAGTACGAGATCTTGGAGTGCTCAATCCCATAGTCGGTGGCGCCCAAGGCATGCCGGATGAGATGCGTGGCCGCGTTTTGATCCACGGGCTTCCGTGTGAGGCCAGCTCTATAAAAAAATCATAAATCAGTGGATATCAAGATTAGATAGTCAGGAACACCCACTTCCGTTCGGCCAGCTGCTCGGAGATCTGCTGCAGCGTTATGTCGCCCTCCGGCAGGCGCATCGGCTCGAGGATCTTCTTCGAGTTGATGTGCTCCCCGACCAGGCTGACCACCTCGCTGGGCGAGAGGAAGTCCCACAGGCCGTCGCTGGCGATGACTAGAAACTTGTCGCCGGGCCCCAGTTCGTGCCGCTGGACATCGGGGCGGGCGGTCAGGTACGGCGGCGTGTAGTAATTGGGGGCCATCGAGTGCTCGCCGAACATCGGCAGCACCTTCTGCTGCATGATGTCCAGGGACCACTTGTAGCGGAAGTCCCCGAAGGCACGCAGCGGCGCCAGCTGGCTGAGCAGCCTCCCATTTCGGATCACCGTCTCCTGCTCCTCCTTCGGGTGCTCGGCCAGGATGCGCCGCACCTCGGACATGTTGTCCGCGTTGTGCTCGCTGTTCAGCTTCTTCGGCTGCCACTGCTGCGTCTGCGGATCGAGGACGCCAAGCACGGCGCCGCAGTCACCCGTGCTGGCCACGTGCAGCTGGAGGCCCTCGATGTGCACCAGACAGGCGACGGCTCCTGGAAAATAATATATTAGTTATTTATTTAAATTGGTTTAAATTCCAGAGTCTAATTTTGGTAGGTAAATCCAGACATTTGTTAATTGGACAGTCAGATCGGAATTATGGGAACAAACAGAAGATAAAACAACGATTAAATTAAGCAAATATCTGCTAAAATGGGTAAGTGTATACGATGCAGCGGCTACCTTGTAAAATTTATAATTAAATATAAATATATGGTAAAATATAAAATAATATACATCACCCTCCGGAGAGTGCAAAAAATATTTAATATTCAATATTATTAACCAGTAAATATTAAACGTTTTAGTTTAAGCGATGCAGCGGCTGCCTGTAAAATATGAATGCTGCATCGTTTACAGACCCATCTATTTTTGACTACATTACCCTCGGGATAGCGCAAAAAATATATAATAAATATTATTAACCAGGAAATAACAAACGAGTAAGTGTAAACGACAGACCCATCTATTTTTGACTACATCTCACTCCGGATAGTGCAAAAAATATCCGTATATTTAAATATTATTAGCCAGTAAATATATTATTAAATAGTATAATATAGTGTAAACGATGCAGCAGCTGCCTTGTAAAATATGAATGCTGCAACGTTTACAACCCAACTATTTGGCTACAAATATCCACATTTCTCAAGCTTATTAATCAGGAAATAATAAAAAAGGAAATTGTAAACGATGCAGCGGCTGCCTTGTAAAATACAATTGCTGCATCGTTTACAACAGGTCTACTCTTAACTTCTTCACCCACCGGAGAGCGCTACGCTCATGGTGCGCACATCGCTGCTGGCCAAGGCCTCCTCGGAGAGATTCTCGTCCAGGTGGAGGAAGGCGTTCACCAGCTCGCTGGACACGTCCCGCTGCGGCGTCTCCGCCAGCTGCTTGATATACTTGACGAAGCTGGCCTCGTAGAGCGGCTTGATCTCGCTGACGAAGTCCACGTTGTCGTTGTGGCACTTGAGGAACGACTGGCTGCTGCAGCCCTGCTTCATCTGCTCGCGGAGCACCTGGCGCGGCAGGGTGGCCGCCGAGACGTAGCGGAGCAGCCGCTTGGACACCACCTGGCCGCAGGCGGCCCCCGCATGGCCGTCGAAGATGCCGCAGATGAAGCCGTTGCGGTGCAGCAGGCTGGCCTCCGTGCGCGAGTCCTCGCAGGGCGAGTTGGAGCCCAGCTGGTTCGTCTCATAGCTGCGGATGATCCCCTCCACTGGGAAGTTGTAGACGAACTCGTTCTCCCTTAGAACTAGGTTAACCTGTGGAGATAGTTGGTATTATTATTGGTCCTTTGGCTCTGGCGGGGATTACCACTGTTCCCATGTTTTTCAGGTGATTAAATAAGTAAGTGTTAAATGAAATGCTCTATTCAAGAAGCTTTAACTTGGTAACCCTACTTCGCGTCAATAACGAATGTCAAGTGAACAAAATTCTTGTGAAATGAAGTGTACCTAGAAAAATGCCACATTTTTAATTATCATACTTTTTTTTTTTGTAAATTGATGAGGATATTTTAAGTACATTTGTTAAAGTCAAGTTAAATTTTGATATAATTTTTTTTTTAATTTAAATACTGTAAACCAGTAGGATAACTTTTTAAGTTAGGTACAAAAATGTACCTATTATATTATATGTTATATTCTGTATTTATTTTGAAATATGTGTATAAAATAAAATATATACATATAAAATATTGAATAAAGGGCGCGTTTTTAGAGAGTTTACTGTACTTTCTGTAGAGGTTACCAGAGAGGTGAAATATATAACGAATAATATAATACATCCTAGGTACAAATTATGGTAATAAACAAAGTATTATCCTTTTAGAATAAGCAATCCCTAAAACTGATATTAAAAAAGAGAGAAAAATATGGATCCCAGATGTTATAAAAGATTCTGTTAAGAATTTTAAAGGAACAGAAGTACTAGTTATAAGATAAGGTATAGCCAATCTGATAATACTTTTAAAGGGGCTTAATCTTAGAAGTTCCATCTATAAGGTATTAAGATTCCAGATCCTTCATCTTACGGACATAATTGGGCTTTTTATAGGGATCATCAGTGATTTTTGGTGTATTCCAGATCTTATATTATAAAAGATTCTGTTAAGAAGTTTAATGAAACTAAAGTACTATTTATCTTTGGGATATCACCAATCTTAGTTCTGATAATTCCGGTAATGGGATTTAATCCTAGAAGTACCATCTATAAGGTAGATCCCAATTGGAAATTTCATGGGGACTATCAGTGGTTTTAGGTGTATTATCAAAAGGCTTTAGTTTTACCGATTCCAGATCTTACATCGTATGGACTCAACTGCGGCAGTTGCGGCAGCAGACGCAGTGCATTCAGGCTGAACTCCCGCACATTGGATCGCACGTAGTTGGCGGCGTCGTTCAGCACGAACTTGAACATCTATATGGCGATTCTATATGCTCTCGCCCCGCTGTGGCTATAATTAACGGTAATAATATTGGTTCCGTAACCGAATCGGCGGAGGAGGAGGCGGAGAAGGAGGAAGAGATAGAGGAAGAGAAGACGGAGACGGAGAACGAGGTGGATTCCGTATCCCGAGAATCCGGAGAATCCGGCTGATCTACGGACTCCGGCTGCCGGCTGCTGACAAAAAGAAGCTCTTGTTTTCCGAGTGGCCGGCGGATTGTTGGTACATTTGTGTGCTGTGCGAGAAACGAAACGGACAATTTCCACGGAAAACAAACGTAAAATGAAAATACAGTGCGTACTAGCGATGGTTTTTTTTTGCGGCACGAAAAAGCACGGACACGAGAATGACAGTTTTCTCAGGGCACAGATGATACACAAAGCATATGAGTTTCCTTGATTTCAAACTTGAAAATCGTCTTTCAGTAATACATTTTATTTTTATGTTAAGTGTTTTATTTACTTATTTATATATCAAATTTAGTCCATCGTGTCACGAAGAAATCACGGTATTTTCCCATCTCTATCTCGTATTTACAATCGAACAGCTGTCAGACTGACAATTGGGCAGCGTTGCCAGAAAGCCATTAGCCGGTTACCGATTTCAAGCCAAATCTAGCTACTTTTTGTTTAAAATTTAAAAATTATAAAAAAAGGTATTAAGAATTTAACAGCAGAAATGTTTGCCTTGCCGGGTTTTTAACCCATTAATGTCCCAGTTTCCGATGACTTGCAGAATGTACTTATTTAATTAAATCTTTTTCTAGCTATTTTTGCTGATGGCTACTTTTTAGCTTCCTATCGATAGCTTCCGCCCGCCTGGCAACGCCGCCTTTATCACACACACACGCACGCACACACTCACGGGCTGGCATGAGAAAAAAACACAAAACAAAACAAAATTCAGAGGCAGCTGAATTCGAATTCTCGAATATTTATAATTTAACAACCACCGCCGACGGCCGGGAATCGAGCGTCGCGCAGCCAGGAATCCAGGGAGCCCGACAAACCATCAAATTGCTTCGGAAACCCAGAAAACCCAAGCAGCAGCAGCAAAACAGCGATTTGCGTCTCAAAGTTTGCGAGAGACAGGTGGAAATTGAGATACTTTGCGGACTCACAGATAAATCCGTGAATTTCGCCGCAAAGACGACATTTCGCCATGGTGGAGCCCATTTTCGAGTATCAGTTTCGACTGATTTTAATCGGCGACAGCACCGTGGGCAAAAGTTCGCTGCTCAAGTTCTTCACAGACGGCAAATTCGCCGAGGTGCGTATTCTGACCACTGTGCGTGTTCGTGCGGCCCACTGTGCGATCGCCGTGTGGATGCAGTTAATGTGTTTATTACATAATTAAGTGACTGCACTGGGCAAACAGCAGCAAAAAAATAGACAAAGGGAGTGGATTTTCAAAAGATGCTGTCTTAGTCACCTTGTCAGTGTGTGTGTAAAGTGCCTGTGTGTGTGTGCGTTCGCCTGATAAAGCAGGCAACAACAACACACAAGGGCCAGGGATGCACCGCAAACTAGGGCGGGCAATTCAAAATTCAAGGAGATATCACCAGAAAATAGTTTCGAAAGTAACAAAGGGAAATTCATTTGTAGAAGGGAATTCTAAAATATGTAGTCAATTTTGATAGTTAAGACAGTTAGGGAAAAATAATGAATAACTTGTAATCGGAAGATATCAGTAGTAGAAAGTTATAAGTGCAAAAAAAATCATTTTTGAAGTACATTGAGTTGGGAATAATACATTAATAATATCAGTTTTGGTTATTATTGGTATTTTTATAGTGAAACTGGTATTTTTAAAAAGTTATCTGAAGTATTGAATTAATTGTTTTTTATTAAGATTGGAGTAATGTTTTTTAAGAACATTGAGATAAAAATAATAGATTAATAATACACTTTTTTGTTATTATTGTGAGTCAAGTTGGTTTAAATATATATTATTTTATCTAAAGTTGAGTCAATACTTTTTTAATTTCAATTTAAAAAAGATTTATAAATTCATATTAAAAAAATGTTTTTTTTTCTTTATTGAATTTATTATATGTCCTTTGAACAATCACTAAATAGTACACCTTAACTACAATAATATTGTAAATACAATTTGATAAATATTAAAATGAACAATATATAAGATAATACTGTATTTTCTGAAGACTGTATGTTGCCCTTAACATATTTTATAGATTTACTTCATTATCCTCTTAATAAAATCCCATTTTCCTGCCCTTTCAGTTGTCTGATCCCACGGTGGGCGTCGACTTCTTCGCCCGCCTGATCGAGATGAAGGACGGCACACAGATCAAGCTGCAGCTGTGGGACACCGCCGGGCAGGAGCGCTTCCGGTCGATCACCAAGTCCTACTACCGCAACTCGGTGGGCGTGCTGCTCGTCTACGACATATCGAATCACGCCAGCTTCGAGCACATACCGCTGTGGATGATGGAGGCGCAGCGGCACATCGAGCCCCACCGCCCCGTTTTCGCTTTGGTCGGCTGCAAGCTGGACCTGATCAACGCGGGCGGCCACCGCGAGGTGACCACCGAGGAGGCGCAAAAGTTTGCCAAACAGCACGGCCTGCATTTCGTGGAGACGTCGGCCCGTTCCGGTGCGAATGTGGAGGAGGCCTTCCGCATGGTCACCCAGGAGGTCTACGCCCGCATCCGGTCGGGCGAGTACAAGGCAGAGGACGGCTGGGATGGGATCAAGTCCGGTTTCTCGCGGCCCAATAGTCTCGACTTCAATCTCGTCGTCGCCGAGCCGGAGAAGTCATCCTGTTGTTGATTACCTACCCCACATCTTTTATTATTTTTTCAATACTGTTTGTGTACATTGATTTGTATCGTACCCCTCCTTTTTCCCCCCTGAAAAACTACTTTGTTGACTCTTTTAATCTTGTTTAATCGCCTAGTTAAGCTGGAAAACCAAAACAGTTACGTATATTTGTACAATGCGTTTTTTTTTCTAATTACCTTTAGTTTCGCTCTTAAGTTAACTTTTAGTTAGGTGACTCACGGAAATTAGTGGTTTGTTTCGTCCCAATTATTCGAGAAATACGTAGCGTAGAGTTTCTGTGCTCCTAACTCATACAACACATAACTCCACATACACAAATGCGAACGGAAAAGCTATACATATACTTGAAACTTGAAATATAAACGTTTTTATTAATACGAATCGCCTGGCAATTAATTAGGGGATGGTATTTAATCTAATCGGCATGGAGATAATTATGCACTTTCATAAATGTTTTTTTTTTGTTCTTTTGTCTGATTTATTTCAACCAGGCAGTCTAGAAAAACCTGTCAAAAACGTAGCACCTTTAAATGAATACTTTTTCGTTGTAATTCGTTCGGAGCCGTGCAAATAGAGCTATTTTTAAAATTTCGAATAAATACTCGTTTTAAAAAACGCGGCAGTCTGGCAACTCGCGGTGCGCCGCACATTTCTGGCCTATATTTTTCTACAAATTCCTATCTTTTTGATTTTTTTCTGCATCACATTTGATTAAAGGCAACCCAGAAGTCTTGAAATACATGCCAAAAAACTTAGAAGTGGCGATTACTTTTATTTTTCTACACCTTCGTAGTCGTGCTCTAATAATTTTTTAAATTCCGATAAATATTTAAAGTCGCGAACGTCTGGCAACCGCGCAAACAACCACAAACCATCTGGTAACTCTTGTCTTTTGTACCGTGATGAAATCGCTTAGGGTATTCCCTAAAGAGTTGAATTGCTTAAAAACTTAATAAAAATAACATGTTTTTTAAAGCTTACCAAATTTCTATTAAGTTGTTAAACTTAAATTTTTAATTATTGTTTAAACTAATATAAAAGAATTTTCATGACTCAGCAGCTGAATTTGTAATGAACAGCTGATACGATTCAACCACCGTTTCGGGAATACCCCAATCTTTTTTCGCCGCCTATCGACTATCGTTCTTCGATAGGTCGAGACAAGACATAACACCGATATAGAAACGTGTTGGCTTTGAAATTACATAGATTACATCGGGACTTTCGAAATGGGCAACGTGCTAGCGGCTTCCTCCGGCGCCCCAGGCAGTGGCGCCTCCAATCTGGGCCTCGGCCTCCCGGAGCCGGCCACCCTGCCCTCCGAATCCGGCTCCCCATCGGGCTCCTCCTCGTCCGCCGGAGGCGCTGATTCCTTTGCCGCCGCCAAGGATGCGCCGCTCGAGAATCCCGGCACCGTCGAGGAGCTGCACAAGAAGTGCAAAGGTACGTGGACTTCAGTCAGAAAAGGCCGCCCGTTCGGCAAAAACCCCCCCCCGAAAAGCCCTCCGCACCTCTGATGACATAACCTACAACATGCGAGAGCGAGACGGCGCATCTGGGGGGTGCTTTTCGGGGGGTTCGTTGGGAGTATTGTTATATATTATGTATTATGTTTACTATTATCATCCTCCCGCAGACATACAGGCCATCACCTTCGAGGGCGCCAAGATCATGCTGAACAAGGGGCTAAGCAACCACTTCCAGGTGTCGCACACCATCAACATGAGCAATGTGGTGCCCAGTGGCTACCGCTTCGGGGCCACCTACGTGGGCACCAAGCAGTACAGCCCCACGGAGGCCTTCCCCGTCCTCCTGGGCGACATCGACCCCTCGGGCAACCTCAACGCCAACGTTATCCACCAGTTCTCCGCCCGTCTGCGCTGCAAGTTCGCCTCGCAGGTGAGTTCTGGCGGGGATTGGGGCTCAGGAGGAGCTACACTGCCAGTCTTGTATTAGCTAAAGAGCTTCCCAACAAGGTTAATGACTTCGTGATGCCAAAAAATAACCAATAAGCATCTGATTAATATGATTATGCTATAGAATGAGACAGATACTTATAAAGATGATAGAAAACCAAACATAATATGTTTAAAGAAAGCTGTTTCAAAGAAATCAGCTAATGAATAGGATTATCTATATTATCATTAGGATTTATGGTATATCTAGTATCTAAAATGCACTTTCTATTATGTACATTAGCCTTAAATATAATTTATTTTAATACCCAACTATTTCTTATGCTGTAAAATGAGGCATAAACTTATAAAGATGATAGAATAACAAGCAAAATATTATTTAAGTAGGCAGTTTCAAAGAAATCAGCTAAAGAATAGTATTATCTATGTTATCATTACGATTTATGGTATATCTAGTATCCAAAATACATTTTCCATTATGTAGAACAGCTTTAAATATTTTTTTAAATATTTTGTATATTAATACCCAACTATTTCTTATGCTCTAGAATGAGGCAGACACTTATAATGATGATAGAATAACAAGTAGTTTCAAAGATCCATTTTTCATTATCCACAACAGTTTTAAATATTATTTAAAGTATTACTCATATTAATACCCATCTACCTCTAATAACCCACAGATCCAGGACTCCAAGATGGTCGCCTCGCAGCTGACGACCGACTATCGCGGCAGCGACTACACCGCCTCGCTGACGGTGGCCAATCCGAGCATATTCACCAACTCCGGCGTGGTCGTTGGCCAGTATCTGCAGTCAGTCACTCCAGCCCTCGCCCTGGGCGCCGAGCTGGCCTACCAGTTCGGCCCGAACGTCCCCGGCCGCCAGATAGCCATTGTGTCCGCCGTGGGCCGCTATACAGCGGGCAACTCGGTGTGGTCGGGGACCCTGGGCCAGAGCGGCCTGCACGTGTGCTACTACCAGAAGGCCAGCGACCAGCTGCAGATCGGTGTCGAGGTGGAGACCAGCCTGCGCATGCAGGAGTCCGTGGCCACGCTGGCCTACCAGATCGATCTGCCCAAGGCGGATCTGGTGTTCAGAGGTGAGTGTTTCTGAAGGTGAACCCCTTTGTGGTTAATAGAATTTTTGGCATATTTAAATGTATTTTATCAGATTTATTTAATTGCAATTTATCTATTTACTAAGAAATGTCTTGATTTTGTTATAATTTATACAAAATATTAGCTAGTACTTATAAAGATAGAATTTTTGGCATATTTAATTGTATTTTATCAGATTTATTTATTTTCCATTTGTCCATTTACTAAGAATTATCTTGATTTTGTTATAATTTATACAAAATATGATTCTATTAGCTGGCAAGTTCTTATTAATTAATTAATTAATTTATAATTTGTATTATTTAAAATTGTTATTAATTTAGCACACAGTGAGATGGCTTACTTTTCAATTTATGCCTTTAATTACAGTATCCATAAAAATGTTATTTTTTTTTTATATCAATTACTCTAATGTTCTACTTCTTCCAGGCGGAATCGATTCCAATTGGCACATCTCCGGAGTTTTGGAGAAGCGCCTTACCCCATTGCCATTTACGCTAGCCCTAAGCGGACGCATGAACCACGTCAAGAACAACTTTAGACTCGGCTGCGGGCTGATGATCGGCTAGGCCGGACCTTTGCGCAGCCAAACCCTACTTCAGCCTCAGACCCCAAGCACACACACTCATCCATTGTAACTTTTTCACATCATCCGCTAACAACAAGAAGAACAACAACAACAAACAAAGAGATATATATAAATCTGCTAACGAACGTTTGCGTTTACGTTTTTTATGATGATCTGTCGTTTGTCGTGTGTATAGAAAGTATGCCTTGCATCCCGAAAAAGGCGGCCTGCGGGGATCTGGAATCCTATGGAATGGCTTTTATTCTTTGATCCATTATGTTACCAGTTACCAGTGTGCCACTGTTCGTCGTCCGTTGTTAATCGCCCAATTTTCCCCACTGACAGAGTCATAAACGCGGAGTTGAAAATACTAAAGAGAAAAATATTCCACAATTATTATAAATTTCTTCACTCAACACAAAATACACACACACACACATCCAAAACTACAACAAGAAACTGTCACTGTACATTTTAAGTTGCTTCCTAAACGTACGCATTTATTTAGAACAACCAGCTATTTCCTCAAAACAAGCTAAAACATTAAATAAATGAAAAACCAACAAGCAGAGACAACAAGTAATAAATGCGTATGAAATGTATGTTACAAGCTATCAAATTGGTAACAAACTGCTTTAAGTTTATAATTTATAAATTTACAATTAGTTCTAATAACAAAAACTTTGTTAAACCAACGTTTATTACCTTTATGGCGTGCAAGAATTAGGCAGAATTCAATGAGAGACGGCGCCGAAATGTTGTGAGGGGAAGTAAAACCAAACAAATCAAACTCCTAAAAAATTAAAAACCCAAACAATATGTTAAACATGTGAAATAATTAACTTACTTTGTAATTTACCCGTTCCCAAACAAGAACCATAAAAACAACAAAGAAAACCAGATGATAAAATAGGTTTTAGAAAAAATAAACAATTTAAAGAAATGTCTTCGAGTTTTCATTTATTTTAAGTTTTTTTTTTCATAATTTTCCAGATATTTCCATGTTATCAGATGGGCCGCGTTCGTTAATCAGATTGGAGTTGTCTGATTAGATAAGAAATCACTCTTGAAAGTGTTGCAATTTTTTTTTTATCACTTAATGGGTTAAATAGTTTTTGATAGATAAGTAATTTGTTTAATTTCTTTTTTACAAGTTTATTTGTATATTTTATATTTATAATCGACATTTATTAGTAGAATTACGCAGCAGAGTAAACAAACCTTATAGCACTTTTGGAAATGAAACTTTGTATATCCAAAAAGTTGGATTTGATAAGGAATTTGAATTAAATTGAAATGGTTTTAGTGTGAAATAAACGTGAACTAGATTTGATTTGTACGTGTAATTTTGTGAAAAAATTATTTAATTTTTTTTTAATTATTAGAAGACATTTTTTTATTTTTTATTTTTATTAATCTTATTTTTTAAAAAGTTTTTCGAAATAATTATTTAAATTTTTAACTTTTTTGGCTGTATTATATTATTATCTATATTAGTCTTAAATGAAGGGGTTTTAGTTTTAAATTTAAATCTTTTACAGTTAAAGATTTTAATGGGTATTCTCTTGTCAGATTCACCCATTGATACCCTATTGTTATGACAACAACATACAAACTTTGTTCAATCAGCCATAGAAGCGATTCGGTTGTTGTCGTCGCTTTGCAAGTGCAGCAGTGGCAATATTGTTTAGATAATAAAATGTTGCCACACTCACACACAACACACTCACACACACGAGGTGCTTTCCCGCTTTTCCAGCTTTCCCCGCTGTCTATCAAAACGGTTTTTGCTATGCACATTTTCTTTTCGCCTTTCTCCCCCTTCTTTTTGCCAAATGCAATTTGAACTTTGGCAAAAAGCGGCCGCTTTAGCAGAGTTCTCCCTTCGCAACCCCTTCCTAACATCATTCCAAACCCCTTCGCAACCCCTTCCTCCCCTTTCCTGGCCATGCCATTTGTGCGATAAGCAGGACAGCGACTTTCATATTTTGTGAAATTTTCAGCGTTTCCTTTTCCCCCCAGAGAAGCACCATTCCCATGTTAGTTTGTGCACATAGGAAAAAAATAAGTCTGTTTTTAACAGGGTTTAAAGACGCTTCTAAATTTAATATTTTAAAATTATATGAATATCTCATGATAAATATTAATATTTTTTTATACTGCAGTTTACAGTGATTTTTAAATTTATTTTACTATAATGCTTTTTTTTTTTTTTTTTTCTTATATATTCTGTATAAATTAGCTCGCGAATTCTTAAGCACTTTTCTTGACATTTTTGAGAAATATTTATGAAAAAACAGGAAATACGACTGTTTAAGAGATACATTTTTCCAGTGTTTGTATTATGTAAGCCGCGAAAGCTGTTTTCCAATTCAATTGTCCCAAACCACAGACTCCACTCATGGCCAAGACAAAGGAAATTTGTGTCGAAAGAAGAGCGGACTTGGCCAAGTGGGGCCCGGCCAAGCAAAAACTCATTAACATATAAAGTAGCCGCCGAGCGAATTGCGCAGACAAATCTGGTAACTAATTACGCAACAGACGTCCAGAGCCACCGAATCCCGACATGGCTCATAAGGCAGGACCTCGAGAGGAGGAGCTAAGCCAAGTGCTGGCCAAACGGTCCTGCTGAAGTGTTTATTCGCCTTTTCTCTAGCTGGTCAAAAAGAGGAGCTTAGCGAGTAATTAGCAGCTCATCCCCATTTTTTCCAAGCTCAAGATTGCGATTGGGGTGAGGGGACTCTAAAGTTAAGTCAAGAGAGTGTTATTAACTATTTTGGCTTTAAACTAAAATACAGCTTGGAGTGGGGAAATATGAGAGATACTTTGTACTAAAGTTTAAAAATGAATCTAATATGTAAGTTTTACTAATTTTCCTAAGAAAATCAAAGGTGTCTAAAAGTATGCAGAAAAAATGCTTCGGAATGCATATATAATATATTGTAGCATACTTTAAGGACCTAGTGAAATCAGGCGAATCATTTTTTTACCACCTTTAAATGCAAACACAGTATCCATTGCATATTGCAATGATGCGAATTTAACCCCTTTGAAAGCCGGCAGCATTCTCGTCAGTTGTTTGCTCAAAACAAATTACAACCAGAGTGAGAGAAATTAATGAACTTTAAGCCGGGCCAACAACAACAAGTAAGTGCGTGAGCAATTGTCTTTTGCCAGTAACTCAACTCCATTCGAGTGGGTGTGTTGTATGCTCGGCATATTTACGCCAACTTTAGTTATTTGAATTACGTGACTTCGGCAACAGTTCCACGACTGGCTCGACTGGCCCCCCCTTTCGCCGCCCATGCACACGTGCACCCAAAGCTTAAACTTTGTGCAATTTTTTAAGCACACACAGGGAGCAGCATGCGTACTACTTACTTTACCCATCCGTACTATCTACGTCCCTTGATTACAGATGCATGTTTAAGAAGAAAATGTTGCTCGGGCCAGGGGATTCGTTGGTTTATGTTTATGGTGTTGTATCAGTTTCTATATTTATAAAGCAGACTGATTTTAATGGTGGTCGATAAGTGGTTAATGTGGCCCGAAGCTTCCTAGGGATATAGCCATCGATTATATTTCATCTTAAAACAGATTTTAAATCTCTACATTTATTTATTATTATTTTTTTTGTTTTTCAATGTATTTAAAATTCTAAGCCTCATTAAAATATATCTTCAACTGTGTTTTTTCTGGAGCAAGGCAGTGTAATATATAAATTATTTTCTTTTATTATAGAAAGTTTCCCATCCACAGGAAAATTACTTTATGAGGATTTTTTTTTTCAATATATAGTATGTATGGAAATGTCAATTTCTTAGGATTTTAGGGTACACCATAAAAAGGAAAGTTTCTTGATCTTACATAGTGTATTATTGTATTTTACTATTGCAAGTTTTTTACCTCCAGACTTTTCCTTCTGGCTTTTCCCTTTCGCTGCTGTTGTTGTTGTTGCTGTTTTTGCCTTTGAGTTTTTAGCCTTAAGCCAAATAAGTGTTTTAGCCGTCATGCAGGAGATAGAAGAAGGAAGGACATGGGTGGGGTTGCCAGGGGGGAGGGGGGCGGCTAAGACTTGAGACATGGACTTTGGCGTCGACGTAAACGTTGTTGCAAAGGCACTACCAGCAGCAGCAGAAGAAGAAGAGGAACCGGAAGTTGCCACGACAGCTGCAGGAAACTCTAACTCACTTACACAAACAGCCAAAGCGCGCACCTTTCAAGCATGTGTATGTGTGTGGGTGTTATTCTGTCTGTGTGTGTGTGTGTCTGCCTGGCCACGTTTGTGTCTGTGAATTGTTGAAAGTTAGCAATAGATTTTTAACGGAAGTTGCACATGTGCGCACGTGTTCTCCCAAAAATTTCTTGGCCCCCGTCAGGACCACGCCCCCCATATCTTTCTCCTCCCTTCGCCCCACCTACCCCTTTTTTTCGGCCACACCACAGCAATTCATTCGTCTTCTCCTGCCCCACAAAACCAAAAAAAATATTCGGCTTAACTCTTGGCACGTTGTAATTAAGGCTTTGTCCGTGTGCGTGTGTGTGTGAGTGTGCAGGGGGCGGAAGGCGATGGGCGTGGCACATCATCATCATTCAAGCGCAGCAAAGATTAGACCAACCGATTATTGCCTTCTACACAAAAATCAATTGTATATTAGAAAATGTAGTATGGCTTAATATTATTTAAATTTACATACGATCTTAAATTTTCAATATTGTTAACAAATTAATAAACAAATAATGTTGTATTATAATTAATTTTGATTTGGTCATTTCAAAATATTGGCAAAAAAAAAAAAAATTTTACCAAAAACCCAGATCCCAATTTTCCACAAAAAAAAAATTCGTTTTTTGACCGTAGCAACGGAAATATTAAGCCAAATATGGAACTCTCTCTGAACTCGTTATTAAATTTCCAATCGATTGGCAATTAAACCTGGCCATTTTTCTTTTTTGCCATTTTTCGCAAAAAATCATGATGTTACATGATGTATAAAATTTAAAATACTATCTTTTCTCTCGGTGTAACGCAACCCCCTCCCTTGTAGCACATCTTCATCTTCTCGACTTGAATTCTACACGAAGTGATTCTTCTACTTTCTGGCCGCGATTGCGTGTGCGCGTCTACTTAACGAAAATTTATGTCTCTACTGCCGCTGACATATTTACCACTTTAACACTGCTACTCCCTGGGATTCTCCTCCTTTTCCTGCGGTTAAACCAATTATGAGGTTTCGCCATCTTTAACCCCTCTCATCCAGGGAAGCGGGAAAAGGAGAAAAGAGTGTAATGGGAGCATTTTCTTTTTGCCGAATTTCCATTTTCCCATTAAGATTCTTTGGGGTGGTGGGACTTCTGGTTGTGTCAGAGCAGCCATATTCGGTGTAATTTAATGGAAAAATCGCTGAAGATCCGGCGGGTCGGTTAAGCAGCTTGTAATGCATAATGAAGGCGAACTGATGCCATCGCAGCAGCATTGCTCATACGCCTATTTGTCACTCGTTAAGGAGGCACAAAGGGGCTGAAAGGGGGCGTGGCTGTCTGCTGTTTGTGAAATGTGCGACACCGTGAGCAGACAGAATCCGGACTTAAGTCGGTTCCCATTTGTGCCTCAATTAGTTCATAAACCTGACAGCGACAGGCGCCATCTGGCGGCAGTCAACAGCACTTGCGCAGCGTCTTCTTCTTCCCCATATGCACATTAATGTGTGGTGTATAGATATATCAAACAACTATATTTATACCAATAAATATATTTATATGCACACTCAGAAAATGAATCGCCCTGAATTTTAGAAAATCGCCTATGGATTTGCTTCACTGGCGATTTTTTTCTTTAAAATAAAAAAATTTTCTACTGGTAAAGAAAATTTTCTTCCAATTAATCAAAATTCATTAAATTCAAGAAATATTCCAGAAATATAGAAAAAAATCGCCAGTAAAGCAAATCCATAGGCGATTTTCTAAAATTTTTTTTTGAGTGCATAATCTTTTCATGTGACATTGATATTTAACATTTAACAGTTGAGTTGACAACTCTTAAAAAGCTTGCGATAACGCATGCTTTTCTTGATAAGAATAATCGCTGAGAATACACAAATTAGTCTTAGCAATGGACACGGAGCAGCAAGAACAGCCGGCGGAAAATGAAGAGGTGCTTAACTCAGGAGGAGAGAGCTGATTGCAATAACATATATTTTTTTCAGGTCCAAGAAAATTCAACGGAAGAAGGTGAGGCGCCCAGCACTGATGGCGAGTCCTCTGAAAGATTTCAGCCTGCCTCAATGACCTTTAAATGGGTAAGCATTATCTATAGATAAGGTTTTATTTTTAATTTTATCAACCGGAAATTCCCGGGAATTCCCCTTTATAGCGAACATTAATAAGCATTGTCCCCAATGATCTGATTACAAATTAAAGCTCATTATATCTTGTTTTTTTTAACAAATGATTTCTTTTTTTTAGGACGGTGAGATTGCGGAAACAATTGTCGGTGATGGAAAAGAACCCCCCAAGGAATTCCAACCTTTTAGTATGGTTTTTCAGGTCGTGAGTATATATTAAATATTAATATATAATAATTACTATAATATAACTAAAAATGCCCTTGAAAGGATGCTGTCGGGGAGATAGTCTCCAGTGCTTCAGTTCCACTGGAAGCCGCCTATGGTCCTCATCCAAGATTGCAGCCACCAATCGTCTGCATATTCAATCACACTTTCCATGGGAACGAAAAAAAGGTACGGCATGGAAGCGAAAAGGATGTCGAAGCGTTGTTCAAAACCTTCGGCAATCTAAAATGTCAGGTGGAAGAAGTTAAGGATCCCAAAAAATCCGACATTAAGGAGAAAATTGCGAATTGTGAGTGGCTAATGCGATTAATATGGATATTTTCGTATTAATAATTCTAATGATATTACAGTATCTCTAAAAAATTTCAACCACCTGTCTGGTGTGGTCATCGTCATCTTGAGCCATGGCGGCCGAAAAGAGAAGATCGAAACGTGCGACCAACAATTTTACGACTTGGATGACGATGTTCTGTTTCCACTCTTCAGAAATAAAACCCTAATCGGCAAGCCGAAAATCCTAATAGTCCAGGCGTGCAAGGACTACATGCATAGACTGCAAGCGGATTCTTCGATAATTGATCCAGTTCACTCATACTATATCAAATGCTACAGCACTTCCGAGGGTTTGCAAAGCTTTCGCCACACACTTGAGGGTTCGTTTTACATACAAGCCTTGTGCAATGAAATGGATCAACATGCCCTTACCAAGGACTTCAAGGCAATTGTTGAGGATGTAAACGTGAAGGTCCAAAATGATTGTGAAAAAACCGGGTAAGTTTTGAAGTCGGTGAAACTCTGTTACTCTCATTATATAACTGTATTTGTATTTTTACTGAATATTAATGGTTATAATATGTTATCGTTGTACAGAAAACAACAAGTACCAGCAATAACTGTGTCAGCATGGACACCATTCTGCTTTGGAGATTATGTGGAGCACGTTTCTTAGAGGATTGGATGGCGGATTTATAACAAGAACACTTTCTCCATGCAACTACACCTGACAACTACATTTTTCTGTCGCCTCTTCGGAGGAAATAAAGAACAAATGGATGACTAAGACAGCCTGTGTTTATCCAAAGGATTTATTATTATTTTGCTTGCTTCTCGGCTTAGGAACTGCATTTGCATTTGCATTTGCAACTGCAGCAGTCAGGTAATAAAACACAGCACGCAATGCTTTGTGGATTGCCAAATTGCTGGGATGAAGAAGTTCCCTGGAGCTGTGGACAGCAGCCAGTTCATAAATAAATGCCTATTGTGCACATTTGATTCATGGATTAGGTCAGCAGATAGCTGAATTCAAGGCAGCAGATAGTGCAGTACTTAGAGATAAAGTAATTAAGGAACTTGATCAAAGGTATATCAAAATATAATATATTTAAATAAATATGTATATATTTTTTAAATATGCTATAAAGAAGGAATTTTTATTTGTATCACTTTTTCCATGAAATAACTAAAAAAAAATGCATAAACCTTAAGTAATTTTCTTTACCTTTTTTGGGCTCAATTTCCCTTCCCCAGGCAAAAGAAAATAATAATTAAATATGCTCGAAAGGAATTGTCGCACAAAAGGATCGTAGAGAATAAAAATTTCTGCTGCATCATAAATAAATGTTTATTGTGTTCAAACATTGATTCATGGGATGATGTCGTAATGGATTCGACGTCTGCATGTCCTTTGGCTGCCATCGCCTCCTCATCCTTTCGAGGGAGTGCGGTGGAAAATTAAGATTCAATTGTCTGCATTCAAAGTTGTCAATGTTCATTATCAATGGAACAAACGTATCGGGCGTAGACGTGGATATCGATGCGCCCTTCGTCCTGAGTCCTTAGTCCTTTGTCTTTTGTGTGTGCCGAATTTCGGGTGGGCTGGGCGAGTGTGCGTGTGCTTATCTGGGGGAACAGTGGCTCCTAGCTATAAAGGAAAAATACTGTTTTACTGAAATTCATAATAATTGGGGAAATATATATATTTAAGAATATTTATTTATAATATTGTAATATAAACCTAATATTTTTTTAAGCTTTTTGGAGCAGTATTGCATCCTTTTTAAGGACCTTCCACTATGGCTTTGAGTTGATTAAGATAATTTGGCTTGCTGGACCCAAACTGGCCATTCCAGACTCTGCCTTTGCCGCTTAGGAATCCCTCCGAACTTGGGCTGAGTAACGATGCAGCTGCAGGACGAAGGACGAAAGACGAGCAATTGTTGTGCCGCATTCGCTGCACATTTGTGCGCTTAATGGACTTCGTATGTCATTTTCAAATTGCAATAGACTTTGAACTGGGGTCGAAGCAGAAAAAATGTCACCGCCAGACGGACGACGAAGGATTCGGTCGAAGGATTCAAAAAGGAGCAGAAGCAGGGCACCCAACATTTATCTGTCCATCCATCTCGTTCCCACCCCTTCGACTTCGCAAGGATAACTGTCAACAGCCTGCGTGAGTGAGTGTGTGTGTGTGGGTGTGAGTGTGTGGTTGTGAGTATCTGTGTGAGAGCTTCGAATAGCGCTAAATGACCGCAAAGTGTTTTCATTATTTGTGGCTGCCAACAATTTATATCGTTCATTTAGGAATTTCTCTTTTTACACTCTCCATTTCGCCACTCCGCAGCTGTGCAAATGTGTGAGTGTGTTGCAAAAAAAAACGGGATGCCAGTTAGTACACTGGAAAAAATATTAGTAAGTTTATCTCTGACATTTTCTATAAATAATTTGTATTGTAATTAAAGATTCTTTTATAAAAACGAAGGAACATTTTGGGTATAAAATATGAAAAATAATTTGTATAATATTATTCAATGGTAATATTGTAAAATAATATTTTTTCTATATTAAATAATATACCTGTACTAATAATAATAATATATATTACAAAAATAATATTTTATCTCTTACTTAATATTTAAATTTAATTTAAAATTAGTTGATAAATCATTTTTGATATTTAAACTATATCATTTTTTCCCCCTCTGCAGCCTGAAACTGCGGCAAAAAAAGGAGTATAAAGGATGTGGAGGGGAATGGTGGTCCGGCAAGTGGCGGACATTGGTCCTGTGGCCGTGACTGTGGCCATGGTTGTGTCTCCTTAGCGCTCCTCTCCAATCCTGCTGCCTTTGAGCTTGGACCGCATGTGCACGGCTTCATTATCGTTCATCGGGAGGAGGAGCCAGCCCATCGTAGCCATATACCCTCCCCATCACCGAACCCCGAACCCCGTTCCCATCATCATCATCAGCATTATCATCTTCACTTACAGTCGCATTGAAATGGTCGTTAGAGCAACAAAAATGCCATCTCAACTTTTATTCGATTTGCACGATTCGCTTCACAAGCGATTTATCGAAGGGAACTAGTTCGCTTTTTTTTTTAAGATTTTTAGGAACTTGGGGAAAATAGTTAAGATACTTGGGATTATAACATTATAATGTATAATAAAAAAATCTTAATTACATTTAATAAATGTATATAACAACATTTAATATTTTTTTAGCAATTAAGGTATTTAAAAAAAAAATTGAGGAATATGTTTATAAATTATTAATATTTTCAAGAATGTTCAATAACCTGTGGATTTCACTTTGGGAATCGTCACTGCATGAAAAATGTTTTAATAATTATTATTGATGGGGGAACTGGTTCCCCTGTCCAGAGACCCATTCACCCTTCCCTTCTTCTGGCAAAAAAAAAAAAAGAGTAAACCCAGACATGGGAAATCGAAGCAACAGTCCAAACAACTGCAAAGTTTCCACGGGCAACTGTGCGGGACAGTTGGACAGTGTTTTGTGTGTGCAGTTTATAAATGTCGATGACGATGCGGTAAGGACATGGGTGGCGGCGGGGCTCTAGGAGGGGATTTTCCAAGGGGGGCTGAAAAGTTAGTTGTTTGGTAAATGGCAACGGAGGCTGAGGTTGCCGATAATGGTCATGGCGTTGACTGTGGCGGTGTTGGCGGTGACTTTCTATGGCTCCATTGGAGTGCCTTTTTTCCACCGCCCCCTCCCCCTTCACAAAACCCCCTTTCGAGTCACACACACACACACACGTAGCCAAGCTTACGTGTCTTTGTGTTGGTGAGTCCTGTGCGTCGATGCAAGGAATTCTAGTTGATAACGACAACATCAGCCGTTGTTGTTGCTGTTGTTGTTGTACCTCCTCTTCTTATTGTTGTTGTACTTGATGATGGTGTCATCCTGGCATCATACACTGAAAGAAAAACAACAAAGAAACAACAAAGAAAAACAAAAATAACAATCTCATTTATAATATAATATAAATCTGTAAAATATATATAATAAATACGTTTTGTTGTGTTTTTTAATTCCTATCGAAAAGTAGAAGAAAATTTTTAAATCGGACTATTCATTAAAAAGTTGTGAGCAATAATGGAATGCAAGCAGTGCAAGCAGTCGATTCACCTCTTGCATAACTTCATTTTCCTTGCACTTCCTTTGGTATTTTCTTAATATTTTGTTATTTTCCAAATAAAATTAAATAAAACTAAAACAACAACATTTTCTCTCAGTGTTGTTGTCACTGTTTTTGCAATTGTCGTTGTTGCAGCTATTAGTATTAGTGTTGGTGTCGCTGGCATTGCTGCAATTGAGTGTTTGGTTTTGAATCGCAAGTGTCAATTTGGAAAATGTTTATTTTATGCGACACTTGGGCGTTGTTGCCACGCCCTCTGCCTCTGAAAGGGGCACAGGGAGGCCGATGCCGATGCTTCTTAACCCTCGACTGCCACCTTGGGGTTATTATATGCTTGCATTTATTGCGAACCGCTGATAAGCCGACCGGCAATCGCCATCGCAATCGCAATGCAATTGCAATTGTCAGCAATTCAATTGCGACTTTATTGAGCCGTTTGTCTTGTGAGAATATCCACAAACTCCCGTCCTTCCGAGGCATTTTCATTCCAGTTCTTGGCCCAGCCCAACGATCAAGGGCCTGGCTTCCTCCGCGGACAGTCATAAATTTCTGGGCGAATAGAAAATCGGCATCCATAAGTTTATTCCACTCAATTGAATTGCAATTTCAGTTATTTGGAGAGCGAGTGCGCTGCATCTTGTGGAATATACTTATGAAGAAGGTTCCTTTGAGTGGAGGATTAGCGATTCGAGTTGCGCATATTTTTAAAGACTTTTTAAGATGGTATTCCTTTTTGTCCCCAAATTGTTAACGTTTTAAAATCTCCAAAAATGGTGTTTAAAAGTATGCAATTGTTAATTTCATTTAGTTTTCTAGTTTACACTAAGTTTGTACTAAGCTCTTTCCACAAACGACTGAACGAATAAACCTTCTTCTACTTCCATTACTTCCTTGCCTCCTTCTCAAATGGCGCATCATTATCCTGGAAAACCCCTCTTCACTTTGGAGTCTAATCAGATAATTACATTAGCCGCGCTCAAAAGTGTGCTACATAAAATGTTGGCCTACGCTCATTAACGCGGCTTTTCCACCCGCTTTTCCCCCTCATTTCCAACGCGTAAACAAATCTCGACAGAAAAAAAACCGAAATAAGGAACATAAAATCTTTATGCCGGGAGGAGGATTTAAGCCATGTTTCGCCTGCCTATTGATGAAGCCATTTAAACGCACGGAGGCAATTTATTATGCCATGAAACGGATGCAGGGGCACTTGGCTAAGGAGGCTGGGAATGGGGATCTGCTATCCGTATCTGGTGCAGTCACAATAATTGCTGGCAGCAAGTAAATCCAGGAGCTTCATTAGTATCGATTATGCGTTTAACGACCCATCGAAATCGAACGGAGGTGGAATTGCGGAATGGGGGCTGCTGCACATAATGATTGTCGCCATAAATGTCAAACTACCCGGCGGTTCGAACATTTATTGAATAAGTTTATTGATTTATACGATTTCTTCATGTCATATCTCTGCTCTGTACGTATAAGTATGCGTTGGGCTAAATATAAATATACTTCTGCTTCTAAATGTGTATTTATGCCCCGACGACTGTGTGTGCATGCAATTTGCAAAACTTTTAGCAATGCCAGCGCAATAAAACAAATGGTATTTTACAAAAGAAACTTTTGCC